AATTAAACGCTTATCTTCAAGTACTAAATATAGAAGTACCTACCTATACTTAGTGCTAGTCACTATTTATCTGGCCTTGTAGCCTACTAATATGTGAACATGTATCGTCACTATACATAACTAAGTATAGTGACCACGACGCGACCCTTCGTACCCTAAATACGATCACATTGAGCCTACTAATGTACCCAAAGTACAGCCACACCACAATGGTGTGGCAGGTGTGTATGATTAATATATTACCCCGTCACCCTCCCCCCCGACCAATCATGGGACCCGGCAAACCAACATTTTCAAGCTTAATGTGGAGTTCTTTTAATACTTTATTTTCCACTGTGTTTGTGTCGCAGCAAAGTGTCCAGCACCTGAATGTAAATCCTCATTAGTGTTTCCTCAGTTTTCATGCACCTCAAATGCATTTTAATCAAGCTTAAAGTCTTTTAGTGTTACGACACTTGCTTATGAAGCGTTACGTGCCTAGCTCTTGTTATTAAAATCTTCGGTACTTGCTTACAAGCGTTACGTTCCTAGCAAATGCTTATTAAGCCTCTCAGTTCTCAAAACCTTTGCTCCTTGAGAACCTACAGTCTTTGCGCTCTGCGCTTATTTACAGGCAAAGCGTTATACGATTGCAATCCTGCTCACAAAGCAATTTCACTGCCTCATCATGGATGAGGCGATGCGCCGTGACATCATTGGAGATGATGACAGTGACGTTGTCTTTATGGCCAGCATATTTGGAATACGTTATAAAAGAATACGCTCGCAAGCTGGCTTTGGCCATTTCGTGGCAATACTGTGCGGAGATCACACTGTACGTTTGGAGATTGTGGGTACGCCATATTGATTATTCCCAGTGGTACATGTTTCCAAGCTAAAGCGCTTTATAATTGTATCGTATTGCTTTAAGAATTTGAATGTCGTCAAGGAATGGACCGCATTAGTTTTGATGGATCTCTGTATCCAGGGACAATAGGGAGAGCGATCTGGAAACCGGCGAGATCGAAGTGGAAAAGATTGTTGATGTCCAATCTAGTCGCAAAACGCGCTATGGTCGTGCACAGAGACAAAAACTCATGCATTTTAAGAATTATAACGCGCCGTCATGGGTAGATGAAGCAAACTTAAGCTGTGTCGTCTTGTTGCAAGATTGATCGCGATCGATTGAGTTAAAATCGATTTGAAGTGATGCAGTGGCATTAAGTAGAAGTCACGGAGTAGGACAAGACGATTGGAATGGAGGTGAGGAGAGAGGGTGTGCTGGGTGGCTGCGCCTATTGAAGGAGGAATTATATGTGGATGAGTGTAGCGATCTAGACGGTCAACCCTGGATTGCGATCGAAGAGACCTATAAAATTAAGCAAATTTTGAACGCGATCAAGAACAAGAAATAAAATGACGCTATATTTGACGATTAGGCTCGTAAACAATTGGGGAGAGATATTTTCAACGGACTTGTATGCCAAGCGTTAACGGAACGCATGTCCGCTCAGGTGCACGTGAAGATGATCAAGGAAAAGGCTGCGGACAAGACGACGCCAAATTCGTGAGCTGGTTACAGAGTACATTGTGATCTTGGATTGCAACATTTTTATCTGCCTCTAGGAATGACCTGGACCTGCAAGCGGCTGATGCTGGCGTCTCGATCCGCGAAGACGTGAAATATCGAATCACATCTAGCCTGCAGGACGACTATGTCAGCCTGAAAACTTCTCAATCTTACATTTGGAATGACACCATAGATTATTGTACTTGGATTCCTTTTACAGGATCTTTAAGTTCAGCCAGCTGGCGCTGGAAGGTATCACGATCCACGAGACGGGCGGTGTTGGCATAATCGAGAACGGATCGCACCTTTTGGACGTTTTGGGTTTGATTGAGTCAATATCCAAATTCCTTTACGAATTCGATCGACTATTGAGTCACTGCATGTAGTTGATACTGATACGTCATACCTCTGTAGTATTAGTTGCACTAACGGAGACGTCGATATTAGTAGGCGCACTATCTCTTCTTCCAGCCGATCGCCTCTTGCTACTTGAGACCGCACGGTATCTTTGAACTCACAATTATGATCCGCCATCTCCTTTAAAGCTTTCAACGGGCCATACCGAGAATCCAACAAAGTTTTCAACATGGCTTGATCTACTGTAGAATTTGAGACTCGCCCACTCGGAACTGCGACGGAAGATCAAACGCATCCACGGATCGGATCGTGCGGTCGGATCGTGAGCAGAGAAGCGTGATGCCGTATTGAAGGAAATCATGTCACAAGTGTAGTAGCGGGGTCAAGAAAAGTAATCATCCACGACTCTGTTTACTTCTATCTCCTAGAGGTAAACAGAATTTTTTTAGATCTTCCCCAGTACGAACCCCACGGCTACTAGGTTCCGCCGTTTCTCCGCGGCAAACCAGAGGGTTTACTCATGGGGCGTCAGCACTTTGAGGCCAAATATACCTTTCTTGCAGGGCATTTTGCCATCAAATGGCATGTGCTCTTGCAGATATAATATCTGCGCACAATTTGCTGCTCCGCAGCATAAAGCTCAGCTTCTTCATCCTCCACTTGACTACAGTCCATGGGTACAAACCCATCAGACGAGTAGTTATAAGTGGCAGACCTAGCGGCCTTAAAGTTGGTCTCGGCATTCCATGCCACTCCAACAGCTTCCTCAAATGAGGACGGGCTTACCCGGAAGATTTCCGTTCTGTCAACGAAAAATCGGATGCCCTTCATGAAGACCGTGACGATCACTGCTTCAGGCATAGGGTCTATGACCATGGCAGCAATGAGAGTTCTCAACTTTTGTACATTTGCCGCAAGCTCACGCTTGCCTTGGCGACACGCTATAAATCGCGACCGATTACGGTGCATTTGGTTTGGCGGTGCATACTGCCGGGTCATCTGAACTTTCAGATTGGCCCATGTGGAAATGCATCTTGCAGTGATGCACCACATGTGAATGCCCATTTCTTGACCAATCCATCCAACTTGCCCGTGGCAAAGCCCACACGGTACGGTTCACAGGTGATGTCGGCTATAAATATAGCCGACTCAACCTGTCGGACCAAAGCATAAGGTTGTCACCTGCTCTGCCGTCGAACTTATCGACTTCCATATGTATGGGTTTTGGTCTGCGGACCACTTCTGGCACCATAGTCGCCATCGATAAAGGCGCAGAAGAAGGCATCTCTGCCTTTACATTCTCGACTAGAGCGTTGTTGTATTCTTCAAGCATATGAATTCGCTTGTTAACCTCTTCTTTCCCTTGAGCGATAAGTTATTCCACGCTCTTAGGGCCAAGGATAGGAAGCAGCTTCTGCAACCTTTCCTGTTGTGCCTGTGACAGGCCAACCGCTGACATCTCGTCAATGGACATTCTCATACAGCGAGTCGCAAACCCAGGTGCGGGATTGACTACAAGTGCTACCAGGTGTAGCCGAGCTACTGTAGCAAAGCTCCTTATGCACTATGTGCAGAGAAAGACGGGCTTCTAGAGCTTTGTGTTAGGATTTTTTACCCTCTCAAGGCTAGCTTTACAAGCTTGTGCCTATCGGTTGTTGTAACCGCGTCTCAAAGAGGCTAGTATCATAAATACCTAATTCCTCCGGAGGAATAATACGCTCAAGCAGTGATGCTTGTAGAGCAGGTTTGAAACTGATTTATATTTATGTTTATCTTCTAACACTAAATATAGAAGCACCTATCCTATACTTGGTGCTAGTCACTATTTACTGGCTCTGTAGCCTAATATTATTATGCAAACATGCATAGTCACTATACTTAACTAAGTATAGTGACCACGTGGCTCTCTGCCACGATGTGACCCTTCGTACTTCAGGTACGGTCACATCACCTACTTTGTACCCAAGGTACAGCCACACCGCAGGTGTGTATGTAAAATACACACCATCGCGTTACCCTGTTACAGCACTTCTTACTAACTTGTCAACGACCTATTATATAATGTGTATATTGTGTACTTCTTCCTTGTGTCACTGTAACGTAATGTTTGCCGCTACATTTAAGGTGCGTGGAACTGACAGCGGCATAGTGTATCTCAGGCAGGGACATACCGGTATATTCTTCCCTAATCATTATTCAGGATTTTGCTTTGCTTTCAACTAAGCTTTATTTTATTTTTGGGAGTCAAGTAGGTGACTTCTGGCCGTCTCTCTATTTTTTATTTGTGCATGTTTAAAGCGAATGAGCAAGTTTTGGACTCACATTTGGTAAGGCCTCCACATAGAATTGGATTCCTGGGCTTGACGAAGAGTTCTCCATCGAAATGTCACTCGCGGTGGAGGGCTGCAGCCAGCACGGCATCGTTTTTTAAAAAGTAGTCAGTCTTTCAAAATCACTCACAAGAAGAATATTAAAGGCCGGCCTTCTTAAGGGAAAATCTCCGATTATGGACTCATTTCACTATACTATAGACCATATGCAAAAGCATTACAAAGAATGCGACTTAAGTCGCATGTGGTTAAAATTTGTTAAAGTATATTCAAATTGTTGTTAATGTTTTTGGCTGTAAAGAATCTTAGTTTTGGGATTATGCATTGGTAAGAGCATTGCCGTTTTTGTAAAAGTTTATGACTATTTCTTCTTCACTAAATTAAAGCAAAAACAAGCAATGCCACTACTCAAGACAAACAGACCAATAGATGCAAATTTGTTTGCATGTGCACCGCAAGTTATCGTCCATTTAACGGTTTCTTGTCTAATTGAATGTTTAGCAATGAGGAAGCTGCATCCACCAGCTCGCGTCGGTCGATACCCTGGTAATTTATTCACGGCCCTTTACAAGGACTTTTTATCATAATAGTGACAGCGCAAGTATGTCAACCGTTACGTGCACATGGAGGGCTATCCAGTTCAACGTGCTTGGTACATGACGGCAAGATAGAAGACTACTAGCTTCTCATAAATCAACCTTGCACATTTGCAACTTGTGCCTTCTTCAGCTGGCTTCCACCAGCAAATAGTAACGAAATTCACGTTAAGCTGTTTTCTGTGCCTGCCTCACGATATCTACTGGTCGCATGTGCTGTACAAATACCATACACCTCTGGCAAACAATTACCAAGTGACCTGTCATCTTGAGTTGCCGCTCATCTATCGATTCAAGCATTCTTTCTACACGACAATTGGAGCACGTAATCGAACCGCACAAGACGCATGACATTTTGTCCCCTACTCCCCTTCTTCGCAACTTTGCTTGCTCACGGCACTTCTTGCAGACGTCCTTTGCGGAAAAAGACACTTCTCGCTGCAGCTTTCGACGTTGGACCTTGCAATTTGCAAGACACCATTGTAATTTCTTCATCTCTGCAAGCTGCGGAGCCCTCCATAGATCCATAGTAGATTTCCAAGTTGCAGAAATTATCACTTTGTTGAGAAGAGCATTGTGTGTCTCCATCTGTGTCTGCACGAAGATGTCAACGATGCCAGGTTCCTTCTGCTTGAAGATTGCTGCGTGCATGAGGTTCATGCGAACTAAACCGGGCAGTGGAGGATACTGAGGAAGTCTTGCTGGCAGAACCACTTGATATCCGATTCTCTCGCCGTTTGCGCGCGTCATGGTCCCTTTAGATACTAATGTCACGAAATCACGCGGTGACGATAGCATTTTTAGAGGCCAACCGTGTTGGAATGCCATCCACTGAATACCCATGTATTGGAATGGGTCTGTCTCTAAAGGCCCCTCCAGCTCAGCTAAGACAGCACAGTGCACTGGCTGCATGGCGAATACTTCTTTACGATCTCGAAGACTGGCTACTATCGGAGTCTCTACACCCAGCATGACTTGTTCAAGTACTCCTTCAATTACCCCCCACCGTTAAAAATATCATTGCATTTTTTCTGTCACCACCCAACATATTACAGTCTCGACGTGCGCTGCTGGTGCGCGCAAGGTAGAGTGATGCTTTATCGTGTGTCTTGAGCTGCTTCCATCGAGTGCTATCCAGGTTGGAATGGTGAAGTAATGCTGTAACTCGACCATTGCCATCCTGACCATCTCGCTCGTCGTAGCTGCGTAGCGCTCTATCCAGCAACTGGTATGATCGGTCTCGACAATTTTGTTTTTCCTCTGCCGTCAGATTTAAATGTTGGAACGGTATTCCTCGAATGGCCATCGAGTGTTTAACTTCGATTCGGTTTTTTTTACCTGCGCGGTCGTGTGTGAAAGACGGATATTATCAAAAGTGTGTATTGGCTTAAGCAATGGAAGGTTCAACGTAGACGATGCATACAACCATGTGTTGTTTTTGAAAGACAAGCAGATGTAAAACGTCCGGCTTTGGTGATGGCGTCAAGGTGCAATCACGTGATGGGAGGGGAATATCTGACTAATTGTCTGAAGCTGCGTTATAAGTTGGACTCGCCCCTGCAAGTCAAACATGCGAATTTCACCAACCACTTTGCTATTGTTCACGAAGATTTCGAATATTGACATGATCTTAATATGACTACCTTGCCTTGTCTTTCACTTATATACTCTTGATAACATCATTTGCTTCAAATACTAGAGGTGAAAGACTGTTCCGTGAGTGAATCATACGTTGTGCAAAACGTCCAAAATGATTTGATGCAAGAATGATTGTACTTTCTCACCTCGTAGCACGCATGAAATGCTTTTCATATTCAACATGATCTTGCGTTTGTCCAAACAGTTTTCAGCTTGTTACATTGTTATTCAAAGGGTTCAACAGATGCATTGAAAAACTCGTTTAAAAGCAATTATTTGAGCAACAAAACGAAGCTTCAGCTTCAGTGTAAACAACGCACACTTGTTATGCTCATTGCGTTGTCATTCCCCAGTAACTGAAGCCCTTTCAAAAAAAAAAGGAAAAAGCAGAGTGATTACCAAAAAAAGGGGTTTCTCGTACCATGAATTACATATGCTGTACTGGTATAGGGTATTCGAACTTGAAGCTTATCGAATTTCAACTGCCACTAACAACAGTGCCCCGCGCAATCAATGTTAGTGACGTAAGACATGAATCCTGATAGATGACAATGCTGCTGCGTCGTTGCCGGGACACATCAAACTCCCAACGATGATATAGATAAAGACTAAAGGTGTTAGAAATACTGTTAAGAGCTTCGTATTGATTATCCATCTACCATTCAGGCTCTTCAATGGTAATGTTAAGACGAATAAGCAAAAGGTTGATAATGCTTGCACCGCCTTGTTCGGCATAACAAACGAGCCATACTTATTTTGCGTTCGACGAGAAGTTGTCACGTCGCTAGTAATCCAATCGGTAGCAACGAGATGCACAGCGCAAGTGTGACTTAATATCAGAGGACTCAACGCCGGTTAACTCCACACACCAGTTTTGCAATAGAGATGGGATACAAATTTAGTTGGCTGATAAATTGAAACAACTCGGATGTTAAAGGAAATTGGGTAGCGCGTTGAATGAGTGAAGCTGTGATGAGCGTCTTATTGGCCGGGAATATTCGTACATGTCGCCCACCTCCAAGTAGCACTCGACTGCTTTGTCAAAAAAAATTTCACGATAAAACAAGAGCTTAACTTAGTGATCAGATTGCATAGTGCTCGTAACATTACGCACGCAATTTGCGTCTTGGCAGCATCGTGGGCAGAACTCATAGCAATAGATAATCAATTCTCTTGATACTAGCTAGACAAAGATAAATTTTGAGATTCAATCAAAACTCATAGTTCTTTGCTATTGGATAGATAACCTGTACTAGCCCTTGATGTAACGGTGTGTCTTGTACATACGCACCTGCCGCAATCTGTAAAGCGTATACAAGTACTTGTTCCTTTCTGACACTTGGCTCTCAATTTTCTACTCCAACTAATGATTCAAATGTTGAAGATGGTGTTGGTTTTAAAAGGTACGCTATCGCAAGTTCACAGTTTTCTGGTCGTTTCGTGACGGCTGCGCGGAGATTCAAGGCAGGAATGGGGATGCGTTCAAGGTCATTTTGGCTGGTGATGTTGTATGATGATGGCGGTAAGCAAGGTTGCTTAACATCAACGTGCAGGTAAGACGGTAATAACAAAAACAGTGTTCATTAAGCTTTCTATTGAGCACTACGTCTCTGCTAACAGGCTATGAGCCCAATGACTGGAGCCAGCGACGCGCCAAGCGCGCCAACAACAGTCAGCTTCGACGACGGCCACGCAAGGGCCGCGGCGTCTCCTGTGGTTGTTCAAGGCTGAACGTGTGCCCAAGAAAGGGGCGACGACGTCAACGCTCGAGTTCTGGCGATCCTCGTCGACCTCCAAGCGCGAATGGCTCACATTGAGGTCTCGCAACGTAAGCGCGATGAAGACGATCGGATGATAGGCGTAATTGAGTCGGGTCCGTTTCGCTCTGCGCTTGCATATGGTCGTGGTGGTGCGCCAATGCATATCGACGTGCTCAGACATTCACCAGCGCGCCCGAGAACTGGACAAGGTCGTGCAAACATTATGCAAAATGGAGCAGGTCAAGGCGCGGTGAGGTTAGAGTGGCCGGCAGAAGATGAAGAACGGCCAGCCGGTGAACCGTATCTAAATGCGGGTTACGCTGAGGTGCAAGATTACGCGCATCGGATGGAGCCGAGCACACAGCAGGTGATGTGGGTCTTAGACGAGCGACAGCGAAGGTTGACAATCCGAAAGTTCGATGGCTCTAAGCTGTATCGAGGATTAGAATTTGGCTTCTTGTACTGAGAAAGAACGTTTATGCGTCAAATCCAGTACGCTTAGGCAGCATGTTGTTTAGATTGGTCCGAAGATGTGAGGACCTCCTCAGCCACTACCTGAGCGGTACGGCCGAGCACAGGTCGACACATAGTGACGCCATTCCCCAACGCTTGCGCACGTCATGAAGCGGCTTCACCAGACACTCAAAACGACGATCACTGCGTCACAGTCGATGAAATTGTTTACGGCTAAAACGGACCCGAAGCGGAGCTGGACCGAACATTGTCTGTATTTGGAGGCGGTGAGTGATGCGTGTGGCGGTGCTGTCGCGCAAGTGCTCGACAACATTGTCCACTATGCGTCAAATGAGCTGCACACAGTTCTGATGGCCAAGTATGACGGATGCCGGGTCGACTACCTTGCCCAAGCTGAGGAGCTTGCTCACTTCGCCCAGTCTGAGGAGCTGGACACGCGCAGCGCTGCCTTTTTTGGGAAGGACGTCGTGACACACGTTACCGAAGGAAACCGCGTGTTGATCCACGCACGTGCTATGAATGCGGACAAGTAGGACACGCCGCAGTGATGGACCTGTCAACGATGAAGGTGATCCTGGGACTCGCGGCGATATGGGGTGTGCCTGCAAAACATGGAAACATCCCAAATGCCAATGTTAAGGCTGACAAGGAGAAGCATTTGATATTTTATTGCACGTAACAAGCGGTATGAAGATTAAAGGCGAGCAGCTCAAGGCACTTGGAGTTGACAGCGAAAAGGACGTCGCGCTCGAGCTAAAGGAGAGTTTTTATGGGCTTAAACGGGCTGGATAGCTATGGAGCCAATTGTTGCGAGCAAAAACTAGCGACGTAGGATTTGAGCAGTGCAGTAGTGATATGTGCCTAAATTACAACGTGACGAGAATGAACTGATCGTGGTGGGTGTATACGTCGACGACCTCCTAGTAACGGCGGCCACGGCTGCCGGTGTGGATTGGTCTTTTTAACGCGATGGAGTCACTTTCAATTAAGGACCTGGGGCCTGTCTCCAAGTTTCTTGTAGTTCGAGTCAAGAAACCCAATGCGTGCGCATATGCTCCAGATCAGTAGGAGGCGATTTGTGATTGCTTCGTGAGCATGGCATGACCGCGGCAAACCCAACGCGTACACAGATCAGTGACAGTTGTTATGAAGATGTGGAAAAGGAACGCGTTCTACTTACAAATATTGAGGGTACTGAGAGGCCGACGATTACGTCGTTTCAATCTCTCGTTGGCAGCTTGTTGGGTCGCGCAATGCACTCGCCCGGATATCACGTTTTCAGTGCATAAGGCAACGCGCAGGACCCATGATCCAAGCCTACAAGATTGGAAGCTGGCCAAGCGCATAGCCAGATACCTCGCCGGGACCAAGAATGTGCAACTCGAGATGCGGAATGGTGCTGAGGACAGTGATGCAATTACTTTGGAGTCCTACAGCCTTGCAGACTTTGCTGCAGACATGGGAGGCAGGAAGTCTTTGACTGGAACGATATTGTTTTTCAAGGAATGCTTGTGAGGTGGTTTGCGAAGAAACATACAGGTGTTTCTCTCTCGACCATGGAGGCCGGGTTCGTGGCGGCGTCCGAACTGCTCGCAAACTCGTCGTTATCTTGAGATGTTAAAAATGGAAATGGGAGTGGTGCCAACACTTCCTATTAAGATGCACTTGGATAACCAAGCTGCTATCTACCAGATTGATGGCAAGGCATCCTCTCCTCCAATAGGGCTAAACATATTGACGTGCGCCTAAAGTTCATTAAGGATTTTGCTCGTCATGGCATTATCAGGCCAAGCTACGTTGAGTCAAAGGCCATGCTTGCAGACATACTGACCAAGGCGGTGGACCAGCATAAGCTTAAGAGTTTGCGGTCTCTAGTAGGTCTGCGCTAAGCAAATTGCCCGTTGTGCGATCGCGCGGAGGAGTTTGAAGATGGTGTTGGTTTCAAAAGGTACGCTATCGCAAGTTCACAGTTTTATGGTCGTTTCATAACGAGATTCAAGCGAAAGGTCATTGGCTCGTGATGTTTTATGATGATTAGTGGTGAGCAAGGTAGTTTAGCATCAACGTGCAGGTAAGACGATAATAACAAATCAGTATTCATTGAGCTTCCTATCGAGCACTACGTCTTTTCTAGCATCAAACCCCACAGACTGCGCCGTCATTGTCTGCACTGTGTGTGTTACGTCTTGCTGCAGGTGCCTCGCAGCGTGTATTGCTCCATTCATGTTGCGTTGTCCACTACAAAGCCCCGAAGCGTTTAACACGTGCGTGTATAAGCCAATAAAGCTTTATAGTGCTTCACACTTGCTTACATAAAGCCCCATAGTGTCAATTTTGTTTATAAGCAGAACATTACTTACCACTTGCTTATATAAAGCCTTAAAGTGTTGTAAAGTTGCTTATGAAGCTTCATTAGGATTAACACTTGCTTATAAAGCTTTATAATGATTTACGCGGGCTTATAAAGCAACGAAATGTTTTATATTTACTCAAGTGCAGCGACAGCATGCACGTGACAGTCGGAGTGATACTAGCAACGAATTGTCGTATGGGGACCCCACGAGACTCCCAAGTCCAGGAAAGTCTGATGTGCCACTCAGAAGTAGCTATTATAAATGCAGTAAATTCTGCCATGGCATGGATGTAAGAAAGCCACAGACAACGACTCATTATTATACTCGAATGAGGCGTAGAGATGGTCTTGCACGAACCTTTCTAAAACCCTACACAAAGAGTATACGCTCCATTAAAACCTCGTGCTCGACAATCTGATGCGGCAAATTTAGCTCATCAGACAGCAGCTAGTCAAAGTTTCACTGTGTGCAGCTTTTAGATTCTCTACACCGAGAGATCTCCCTTAGATGCCGTCGACAGTGTCTCTCTCGCTGTCCCACTGACTTTGCAAACTCCGACTCGCTCTTATAGCTTTCTGCTTCTTTTTCAAACCAATATTTGTCCTAATGGCGAGAATGAAAGAGGAGCCAATATTCGTCCAATTACGCGTTCATGCGATCCATAGCACGACGATGAAGTTGAATTGACTAAACAAGTAACTAGAGACTTGCGCTTTTTTACTGACACGTCCATCGTCGGGTTGTGCTGGCCCTTTGCGTTCGACACGGCAACGATGATGATACGTGCGTTCAACATACACACTAGCCCCATTCTTTGCCACGCTCAGTATCTGCTGCTCCATGGCCTTGTGAATACAATATGATATCGTTATTGCAATACTGCGGTACTTACGGATGCAGCAAACACCGTGGTCCACTAGCACTATGGCACAAGCCTCCAGCATCCTTCGCCGCCATTCATGACGTCTGTACATGTTATCTCAGCGCTTGTCGTGACATACCTATCATGAGAACCGCAGGGGCTGAGGTCTGCTACAAAGCGTCGAGACTGGGATTTCCTCGCACCTAGGGCAGCAATCAAGAGCAAATATTATTCGCCACGTGTCTTCATGTCTGAGCCATCCGCGTACGCGCTGCCGTGGACGAAGACAACGATAACGGCTGGTCCAATACTCCTGACTTCATGGAGGCTTAGCAAGAGCGCCATGAATTGTGGCACCAAATAACCAAATAACGAAATACAAATTTCCGTGCTAAACACGTGCGGTCTGAGCGTCAGCCCGTTGGTAAAAGAGCGCAAAACGAATAGCAGACGCTCATCTAGATGGACCAAATGAAAAGTAGGGACTCGACACTGTAGAAGTATCGGCATGTATGAATGCAGTATTACAACGTTTAAACTGTTGCAAATAGACAATTAGGTTTTTATCATCTCGTAGCAGGAACACAGGTGTAGCTGCATGTGTTACATTTGAGTAATTTGGCCTTAGCACACGTTAGCAAGCCCCATAAACGGTGGATTGTCAATACCAGTCGCACGGCCCTACACAATGCAAAAAAGACCGAGCAGCGGCTCCACACTGCACGTTTGACTGAAACGGACTTGAAGCAATAGAATATTGTAGCAGGTCTACTGTAGCAAAGCTACGTATGCACTAGGTACAGAGGAAGACTAGCTCCACGAGCCTATAAGTCTTAGAGTTTATAACTCTCCCAAGGCTATCTTCATAAGCTGATGTCTTTGGTTGCAAGGAACCACGACTCCAAGAGACCAGTATCAATAATGGAATTCATTTTACAAAAAAAGAGTACACTCAAGCAGTGATGCTTATAGAGCAGGATTGAAACTGATTTATGTTTATGTTTATCTTCTAACACTAAATATAGAAGCACCTACTCTATACTTAGTGCTAGTCACTATTTACTGGCTCTTCAGCCTATTAATATGCAAACATGCATAGTCACTATACTTATCTAAGTATAGTGGCCACGTGGCTCTCTGCCACGATGCGACCCTTCATACCTTAGGCACGGTCACGTCCAATCTACTCTTGTACCCAAAGTACAGCCACAGCACATTGGCGTGGCAGGTGTGTATCTACAATACACACCTTTGTGTAATTCCGTTACAGTTTCACTCAATCTTCTTCCTTATATGAGGGTCTTGAGTTTCATGTACAGTCTTCACGCTCAACAGAGTACAACTACATCACAGTACCGTAGGCGTGTATATCCTACATTGACAGTGTTTCCTTAGTTTCTGACAAGATGTACACAAGACTCAAAGTTTTTTTTACCTTTATGCCAGCGTAGAGAAGCTTTATCGATACACAATCAACTTAGTCAATGTTGCATTCGTCTGAATAGCCCGACGAAAAGATACAATACTTGCAACAGGCTCGCGAGGACGCTATGGAGACGTGTTGCAAACAAAACTTCGAGTCGGAAGAATTTCATAATGGTTTTACATCGCACCCGACGCATCAAGTAGAGGAATCCGATATTTTACGCGCAAACATCAAGTGCAATGGTAGCTTGTGGACTTCTTCCCTTCACACAAAAGTTGCATATATATCACTATGCGTCTATGCTTGATTCAATGTGATGTAATGTGTCAGCTTTTGCTCACAGTCACCTACCCATCCTGAAAGCATCGTGAGGGTATTTATCGTTAGATACTCACAAGACTAGCCATGTCGGGCTGAAAAGCCTTTAGGGGTGCTTTTGTCGTGGAGTAAATCCGTCAAATAGCGTGTTCGAATGGATCTCTACAATCAAGTCTAGACATGGTGAATGGATAGCATTGATTCATTACCGTACTGACTGCACTATGGCTTTCAGATCGTGCTTTACGAAAAGGTTTGAAGCAGTCTTGCCTCTTTCATTGAATGAGCTTTTAACAACTTGTATTGCTACCATCTTTTCTCGAGCGTAGAAAGCTTTAAAGTCGTTGTACGACTTGTATCAACCGATTACGCTTCTCGTTTATCATTTATTTTCCTGTAACCCTAAAAACCTTTGCAGTTTCTTATTTCAATGCTTGTCTATCATTCGTATGTGTATCACGCTTGTATACGGCTACTCTAGCTATAACAGATATGCCTTCTTTTCGTCCTATTAGCGTTTGCATACTTCTACTGCACCTAGAACCTAATTAAACAATATATAATAGCTGCATTATACTGTTTCAGTCATTTAGCATCTTAAAGACTATGATGCAATGGGGTCTTAAATGGGTACACCTTTCTACAATGATTTAGCTTATAATGCCAGTAAGTACGAACAAATATGCAGCACCCTAAAAACTGGGTCTATTTCAGATTCAGACAGCCCTTTTACGTCCATTTGATGTGAAAGTCACCAAATGCATTTTTTGTTTGTTTTCAGCTAATCCCACGCCGCCACCTTTTTATCTTTTTTTGTTATAAGATCGTCACAGTCCTAAAAAACAAACAGGAGAAAAGTATTCAAGTCAAAAATGGTGCGTACGGTGTCGTCGTTCTTTGTTAGGACCTTCATTTCACCACTTCCACGTCCCTTGACACTATCTTCATCGTCTTATCTTGTAGATTTCTATTTCTTCTTTCATTTTATCTAACTCTTGTCTCTTTTTACCTTTTTTGAATATGTTATGTTGATTCTCCCTAGCCACTTCGTCTCGACATTAAACGCCAGCTTTCTTCACGATTGGAGTGCGTCAAGAGCGTCGATTGACATCCAACAAAGCCATGGAATCTTCTGCAATTTAGTCTGGTAGCCTGATGATCTGAAACTATGTAACACAGTCACTGGTAAAACATTGGAAGTATCGTCTTTGCCGGTGCGTAATGCTAAGTTTGTCGCTCGTAAGCAGTGGATTGTAGCGAGCTCAGATAATATGCACGTGCGTGAAAAAATTATAATACGATGGAGAAAGTTGCGAGCGTTGAGACCATAGTGACTATATTCGCCATATTGAAGTACACCCAACGTTGCCGTGTTTTCTCACTTGCGCAGACGATATGACCATTAAACTATAAGATTGGGACAAGAATTTTACATGTTCACAAGTATTTGAAGGTGAAGGACCCTATGTTATGATGGTGAAGTTCAATTCGAAACGCGCGTTCGTTTGCAAGCGCATGTCTCGATAGAACTGTCAGAGTCTGGCCTTGGCTCCAGTCATGCCGATTTCTCCCTTGATGGACACAAATGTGGCGTCAACTGCGTCGCTTATTACCCAGGTGGAGACAAACCTTACCTGCTGTAGGGCAGTGACGATCGTACGGTCAAGGCGTGGGACTACTAAACGAAGGCTATCGTCCACACGTTGGACGGGCATGGCAATAACTTAACATCGGTGCTGTACCACCCAAGGCTACCACTGATCATCTCGGCCAGTGAAGATGGTGCCGTGAGGATGTGCCACTCGACTACATACCGCGCGAAGACGATGCTCAAGTACGGTATGGAACGTAGTTAGTCGCTTGCGGCGCTACCTTTAGCCAACACACTGGCAATCGGGCACTATTGTGTTGAGGCTAGGGCACTATTTTGTTGAGGCTAGGGCACTATCGTGTTGAGGGCTAGGGCACTATTGTGTTGAGGCTAGGGCACGATACCCTTGTCGTGAGTATGGACGCTGGTAGGCAGCGGAAAGCTTATTTAGACGACTAATAATGATATTTACACCGCCAGTGTCAAGGGGGTGGTGACGGAGCTGGGTCTTCAGGACGGCGAAATACTACCGCTTGTTTTAAAGATTTAGGAAGCTGTGAAGCGTATACAGCACAACAGCAACGGCCGCTACGTAGTGGTTTGCAGTGACGGCCAGTACATCATCTATACGGCACAGCAGTTACGTAACAAGGCCTTTGTACTGCGTTAGACTTCAGCTGGTCACCAACAGGCACTAGCGACTACGTTATTGTGAGAGCATTTCGAAGCTTACACTGTTTTACGCAACTTTAAGGAAGTTAAGAGCGAGAAGCTTCTCGCGTGCTATCAGCGAAGGTCTGTTTGTAGCCTTGGTGCCATCGGCGTCAACGGTAATGACATGATCGCCATGTGTGACTGGGAGGAGCTGCGGATGATTCGTAAGATTAACGTGGTGGTCAAAATATGTGTTTTGGTCTGACAATGGCAGCCTCGTCGTGCTTGCTTGCAAGTCCACTTCTTTTGTGCTGCGGCACAACAAAGTGGTGGTGGCACAGTCTTTTGCTGCTGGCACGAACTTACCTGATGAAGGTGTTGATGGCGCCTTTTGTCTGCTCCATAAAATCTCTGAGAAGGTTGGTACGGGCACCTGGATTGGAGAGTGCTTGTTGTACACTAACGCTGGCGGCAGATTCAACTACTACGTGGGCGGTGAGGTAATGATGCTTGCGCACTTAGAGCAGAAGACGTATCTGCTTGGGTGTTGCCTCGTGAGACTCCGGTATATTTGATGGACAAAATGAAAATGTGGTGAGTTACACGGTTTCGCTAGTAATGCTAGAGTACCAAACTGCTGTGGTGCGTCGTGATTTTGAGAGTGCAAACGACATCTTGCGCAAGATTCCGGCAGCCCAAATGGACCTCGTGGCGCGTTTTCTGGAGGCACAGGATTTTAAAGAAGAGGCTTTGACCTTAAGCACTGACCCAGACCAAAACTTTGATTTTGCTGCTTAGCTTGCAAAGCTGGACGTGGCGCGTGGTGTTGTACTGCTGGAAATTGACAAGGGTGACAAAAGCAGTTCTGTGCCATCGCCTAACCTTTCAGTAATTGAATCAACTTGCTGCTTGGTGTACGCACTGGTCAGATTACGATCAAATAAGCAACAGACAAGTGCTTTTCTAGTCCTCCAATTTTGTCAAGTATTACATCTTTTAAGTTAAGTTCTCTCTGCAGCAACATCCATAATTCGTATAACTGTATTCGTTGCAGTCTCCCACGAGTCAATCAAAACCAAGTCTACTACTTCCTTCACATTTTGACAATGAGTTCCTTCCACTTAGACTCCCGTTTTTCTCATTCAACGTTTTGTCGAATTGAAGATAATGGTAAAGCTTCTTTGTAGGTTTGTTAGTATGAGAGCGCGTTCTCGGTACGAGTAGACAAAGCCGATACGGTATACGAGTTAAAGGTCGCTATTAAAGCGAAGAAGCTGAACGAGCTAAAAGACGTGGATGCAGACAGGCTGCAGCTGTTTCTGGCAAAGAAAGTCGCGGGCGCGTGGCTGTCAACTCGCTCGGAAGACGCAACGAAGTTGAAGGAGGGTGAGAAAACTGCTCTTATCAAAGTGCTGACGAAAAAAGCGAAGAGCTACTGGGTGAGGATCGATTGGAGGCCATGCTGGACGGGATAGATCCTCCATCACTTTGCCAGATCCACGTGTTGGTGAAGCTGCCACGACAAATTGCAGGTGCTGGTTTGATTCAACCAGCAGAGCGAATTCCAAAGCTGAAGGAACTGATCGCGCCGGAGAAATACGCTGCAGATTACTATATGAATGGGATATCGATGCTGTGCACATGATTCCTTCCATCCACGCATTTTTGAAGAACTTGGGTGGATGCACCGAGCATGGAAAAATCTATTGGTGCATGGAAAACAAGCAAGTGGTGTCGCTGCTGCTGGAAAGATCGCGTTTAACGTTTTCTCCCAATAGCAGCTATTCTCGTGGAGTGATGAGGGGCATCGTGGCGGGCTCGCCGGGCATTGGCAAGTCGACGATATTATGCATGATTGCCTTTTATCTCGTTTTTGGAAACAATAAAAATGTGCTAGTGTACCGGCGAATGGCCGAAACAGATCCGGAGTGCCTCCTTTGCTTGAGAATAAGGTCGTGCAGTTTATAGTGTCGGAATGTGACACAACGTATGCGTTTGCCATAAATAAGGAGCTCATTCACCAGAAGGGCATTTCAAACGTGTGGTTGTTGATGGATGGGTTTAGGTGCCAAGACATTCCTCCAGGTGTGGCTATAAAAATGCTGACAATGTCACAGCAAGTGTGTTTGAAGTCAAGTAAATCAAAAAGTACTTACTGCTGTCTGTTGCCTTATAGGTGTTGAGTTGGATGGTGATTTTGACTGTCTCCAATTAGTAAAGGCAATTTACGGCCTGAAGCAAGCTTTGCGAGTATGACACAAGACTTTGACGATACTTTTGACGAGTGTGTGTTCCATTGGATTTCAAGTGTCAGGCTTCGATCCATGTCTCTACATCAGATTATGGAAGACCAGTGCGTATTAATTTTGGTCTATGTGGATGACGTGTTGGTGACAGGAAGCTCACCCAAGTTGATTACACACACCAAGGAAGACCTGAAGATACGCTTCGAGATGACTGATAGTGGCAAGTGTGCATTTGTTCTTGGAATTCAGCTTTTGAATGGAGAAGATGGAAGCGTTACATTGTGTCAGCGCAGTTACGTGGATGACCTACTCAAGCGATTTTTTGACTTCACCCGACCATCCAGGGCCAGTACCTCGTCATTAGGTGCATGCACCTCATTCTCCTCAAAGATAACATCCATTGATGACTTCACTCGTCCCTCTTGGGCGAAAAATATCTCGTTGTTAGGTACATGCACCTCGTTGTCCTCAAAGATCCATTTGTGACTTCACCCGGCCCTCCAGGGTCAGCTTCTTGTCACCCATGTCACTTGGACTCATGTCATGACATCTTGGCTTGCAGCCACCAACACCACTCACGGTGTTTAATGATGTAACATCACTCTCATGACACATGTCATATGTGCAATCTAGTGGGTTCTCAACCACACTATCGACAGTTCATTGGGCCTCGCCCAAGACAATTGTCCTCGACACTTACAGTGTCTACAAAGTCGGATATTCCGACATCCAACTTATTGACCGACTCGGTCCAATATCCGCGCCAAAAGCGCTTTTGCTTCCTAGCAGAGGTGTGATCATGGCTCTCCAGAGCCCCACCAGGAGCATTGCGCGTTGCGCACTAAGGTCTTCGACCTCCAATCAATCCATGGATCATGACGTTCTAGTCATGCCATGCCTAAGATGAGGTCATACCTCGCATCCAGGTCTAAGACCAAACAGCGTTCTATGCTTTTAGTCCAAGAGCTTTACATTTAAGTCCATCGGGACTTGGGGTACCCTAACACGCGTAACTGTCGCTAAGCGAACTGTGACTGTGTCACTCTCACGCGCTACAAGCGCTCCAGCATACTGCTGACTACCTTCCACGGTGGCACGGAGCACATAATTTCCCGATGCCCCCGAATCGATCAAAATGATCCATGGCTTATCATAGCCCTCAATCATCCCTTCGACAACTAGCAAGCCAGGCTTGCATTCTCGTTCCGTTTTTGAGGGTTTGGACCTTTTTGGGGCTGGGCCTTATTACTTCTACCTCCCAGAGGCTCAACAGAACTCAGTTCTTCCCCAGTAGGAAGCCCCACGCCTACTGGGTTCCGCCGTTTCCCCGCGGCAATCCATACGGTATACCCATTGAACGTCGACCCTTTGAGGCTAACGATGCCTTACTTGCAGAGTATTTTTCCATCCAATGGTCTGATCTCTTGCAGATATCACATCCGCGAACAATTTGTTGCTCCGCAGCATGAAGCTCATAGTCTTCTTCCTCATCTTGACCACCATCCATTAACACATTCCCATCAGACGAGTAGTTATAAGGGCAGGCCTAGCGGCCTTTAAGTTTGCCTCGGCATTCCATGCCACTCCAACAACTTGGACGCTTACCCGGAAGACTTCCGTTCTGTCAACGCCAACTCGGATGCCCTCCATGAAGACCGTGACGGTCACTGCCTCAGGCATAGGGTCTATGACCATGGCAGCAATGAGAATTCTCAACTCTTGTACATATGCCGCAAGCTCACGCTTGCCTTGGCGACACGTCAAAAACCGCGACCGGTTACGGTGTGCTTGGCTGGCGGTGCATACTGCCGGGTCATCTGAACTTTCAGATTGGCCCATGAGGAAATGCATCTGGCAGTGATGCACCACATGTGAATGCCCACTTCTTGACCAATCCATCCAACTTGACCGTGGCAAAGCCCACACGGTACGGTTCATAGGTGATGTCGGCTATAAACATAGCCGACTCGACCTATCGGAACCAACGCATAAGGTTATCACCTTCTTTGCCGTCGAACTTATCGACTTCCATTTGTATGGGTTTTGGTCTGCGGACCACTTCTGGCACCATAGTCGCCATCGATAAAGGCGCAGAAGAAGGCATCTCTGCCTTTACATGCTCGACTAGAGCTTTGTTATATTCTTCAAGCATATGAATACACTTGTTAACCTCGTCTTCGCCTTGGGCGATGAGGTACTCCACGCCCTTAGGGCCAAGGATAGGGAGCCGATTTGCAACCTTTCCTGTTGTGCCTGTGACAGGCCAACCGCTGACATCTCTTCGATGTCCATTCTCACACAGAGAAGTATTCGCACAACTAAGTGCGGGATTGATTACAAGTGCTACCAGGTGTAGCCGAGCTACTGTAGCTATGCTACTTATGCACTATGTGCAGATGCACTATGTGCAGAAGAATTAGTCAGACTATTGTAGCAAAGCTACGTATGCACTATGTGCAGAAAAAGACAAGCTCAAAGAGCTTCTACTTCTTAGGGTGTTTACCCTCCTAGATTAGCCTCACAAGCTTGTGCCTATAGGTTTTAATCGAGTCTCAGAAAGACTAGTATTAAAGATACAATTCCTATACGGAATAGAACGCTCTAGCAACTAGTGCTACACAGAACAGATTTGAAACTTATTTATATTCATGCTTATTTCCTACCACTAAATATATTAGCACCTACTCTATACTTAGTGCTAGTCACTATTTTTTTTACTGGCTCTATAGTTTAATATTATTATGCAAATTGTACTTCTGCTTTTTATCTGTAGGTACTTGACTGCAATCACAGTGGCAAGTTATGAACCATAAAAGCGAATCATCTGAGCTTTGTACGAGAAGGTGTGATTTGTAATCGTTTGAATTACAACAAGCTTTAAGCTTTGCACTTCAGTGTGACTTCATGGTGGCTACCATTTACACATATGAGATTTCTCTCATCCATCAAAAGCTACTTTGAAATGTTGCTGCAACATTTGGTGGACATTATCCTCGTTGGAAAAAAGTACGTTGCAAATTACTGCCATTGGAGCGCTTGTGACTTTCACACATGACGATTGACGACGTGACAGGATGTAAGATAGGTTTATTGATCATACATAGGCTCTGGATGACTAACGTTGTAGCTGTTGTTTGTGTTTGTAACGCATATGAATAGGTGCTATCAAGTCAATTGTGGACACAGGCAATATATACGCCACTGATCGCTGTCGTATGCATTGTGCTCTTGCTTTTATATGTACACACCGAGTTATATGTGTAACGTTTCAGCCAGTTTATAGTGTCATCTTTGTGGGTCCTGAGTTCAGCCCGCATGCAATTGGTATCTTTTTCCACTTGGGCAATGCGCGAATATGCATGTTATATTCTCAATGGACTCTTTCTCGTCATTAACTTTACGCCTATCCGCAAGAATGTGGCAGAAGATGTTTAAGATATTGTACAAATTTAGGTGAGGAAGAAGATACGATAGCTCGGAATACAACGAGTCTTAGCTATAGCAGCAAATTGAAGAATGAGTAAGAACGAAGGGCAGCATTATGATTGTCATCCAGATGACTTTTTCCTGTTCTGTGTTTTCTCGATAACATAACAAGCATTTGTATCTCAAAGTGCAACTGTGCACGAAAAGTAATCCATGAGTTTGCCTTTATCATATAGTGCAATGGTAACGCACTTCAAAAAAAAGCGCACTTTAGGTCAAACGTGCTTCATTATCGGTTTTTGCTTGTAGACTAATTTAATGAGGAGCTTACTAAAAAGATTAAAATCTAGTCACAAACGTCTTCACAATACAAATGCAAGTGTATATATAATTAATGTCGAATAACAAATTGGTACACAGCGGTAGGACATAGTCGCGTAAGTTTGCATATTACGTTGACCATCTTGCAATCTAAACTTGCATTCTTAAGCAAACGACTGGGTGGTGGTCTAGTGTCAATACCCTGCTACATTTGGTGCCAACGCAATAACAGACTTGTATGACTACAACTGCTAAACAGTTTCCAAAACTCTACCACCGAATCAAGGAAACACAGCGGCCAGCAAGATGTCTTGGATAGAAAATACGACAATATCAACACGATTGTGCTGGTATCATGGCATATGCATTTCGCAAGTAGACCATTGTGTTGTAAAGAGAACCAGCTTTCTTCCGCAACGTTCGTTCATTATCGCTTTTATACAATTCCTATGTTCCATGTCTCGGAACCCGTCCTGTACCTTACAGGCCCGTTGCACAGTATCATCGAATCCACGAATCCAAAAGCATTCTTGATACAACACACTGCCATGCAGCACGCGATAAATGCGACCGTCGTGACAAGATGGAAAGACTTGGCGGGCTCATCTACCGCTCAGTGGCATTGTAAGTAATGCAGCTGGGCTGGCGAAGACGCAATAGTACTCAAAATATTAAAGCGCAGACGAACCAAGGTATCGCAATCATTGGCTGAGAATGAAAAAGTCTTTAGTTCGTCACACAAAGACATGCTATTTGGGTCATCAACATTCAACCATTTTGTGTGATACAGACAAAGTGTACTTGAATTGATGGATCTAGGGCACGCGCCAAACGTCATCCAGGAGACTTAGGTATTGTCAAGGCTGGACTGCATTCAATTATAGCGAGGTCCAATCTCTTTGTTTTAACCAAAATTCCTTTAGATTAACATTTTAAACCCAGTAAGTACAATTATTGTTACACTCCGAAAGCCAAGAATCTGCTTTCGCCCAATGACTTGCAAATCGTTTGTAAGTTGGGCAAGACACCCTTAGAGCTCGCGTGCTGCACGTAGAATTTTTTTTATCGTCGTCGTAAAGTTGACGGGTTGATGTGACCGTGCCTAAGGTACGAATGGTCGCATCGTGGCAGAGAGCCACGTGGTCACAATACTTAATTAAAGTATAGTGACTATGCATGTTTGCATAATAAAAGGCTGAAGAGCCAGTAAATAATGACTAGCACTAAGTATAGAGTATGTGCGCGTCGGTACTCAGAGGGGGTTCTCTCGTAACTTCCGATCCAAGTGTTCTCCCAATCACTTAAGGGGCAATTTAAGAGCATCGTCGCCCATTGAGTGCAGATTGTCCGCGCTACGCCATGATCTTCGCAGCTTCGACAACCTTCGTGCCATTGCATAGTATAAGCAGGACGATCAGCAGCTTAAAACACTTTGCAGATGATCTTACGAGTCTATGCGTGGCCATAGTGCTGTCGCCGTTCTTCACACATCAGCACACGATCTGCGAATGATGATTCCATATTCAATCGGCAAACAAATGCAGTCCAAACTCGTCAAGTAAAGTTTGCCTTACGGCGCGCGTAGCCGCGGTTGGCTTGCTGCGTGTTTGTCTTCATCGTCACCACATTTCACGCATGTCAAGGTCTCCACGCGAACGCTTTATGCCATTGCAGTCGTAGAACTCCCAGACGCGAACTGTTTCTGCGTATGATACCCCCTCGTATCGCGATAGGAAGCGCGACTCGCTAGGGGGAAATCAATCGGTCAAATCCGAGAGATGTTCATCGAAGATACCTTCAAATGTCACATCCAAGATCAAGAAGTCGAAGGATTCGCAGAAGCAAAAAAATTGCAAGCACCAAAGTTGGACAAAATTGATTTAGCCATTCTGTGAATTAAGACGATCAAGGGAAGCTGCTGGATCATGCACGTCCGTTTAATTTTGCGGATGACGTCGATCATCACCAAGCCGGAAAGGATGGCAGCTGGCTCATATATCCCACGAACTTGATTGGAAAAGTTGAATGCGCTTTTTTTTGAATGATCCTGTGCTCAACATCATGAAGCTGATGTGGATCAAAGCGTTGAAAGATTCCGTGTCGACACCAACCCCGATGACAAACACGTTAAACGAGATCAGGCAGCTAATGCAGCTGTTATAAGACGCTGGATTTACTGCTGGGTCGTTCAAAGCCCACAAACTACTTGATTGCGATCTCGATCAGGTAATCGACGCAGCACGATCGCTATTCTAGAAGTTAGTTTGTATCACTGGTGAATACAAATTGACGGATTACCTGAATAAACAGGCACGATACAGTCCAAATTAGTACCACACGGAATGGTCGCCCTTATTTCTCGGCAGCATTCGAAACCTACTCAGAAGAGTCGATCAAGATCGAAAGGATGTCGCTTGGACCTTCAGATGCAAGGTTCTGATCAAGGCCAAGCCGCGATCTGGTATTGAAACTATGCTTAAAAGTATGGAACCGATCGAATCGAGCCAATTACGATCTTATTTTGATGTTAATACGGAGAAGTTTGCTCGTGAACAACAGACTCGACAAGGGACGATCGCTCCAGATGACCAATCACGTTTTTTTCAGGATCGCTAATCATATATTCCTAATATTGAGATGGAATCAATGGGATCACGTGGTAGTCGATAGCACGAGCACGATACGGACGATCTTGGCCTGGATGATTCTCGATGACTACTGATAACGACTGCAGAGGCGTGGTTACTCTTGATGGATCAGCGCGGATCCAGCGGAACGGAGGAGCTTACAGTGCGATCGTAAGGAAACTGTGGTGGAGTTGGTTCCCAAAACTGCGTAATGATACCCCAAGACATTAACTGTGTCTGAGTGCTGACTGTCGGAGAGGGTATTCTTATGCCGAGTATAGACCTTCTCTCACCTTATATACCCGTCGGCTGGCGGGTTGTACTATTTGGAGGACTTGGTTGAGACGTGATTTTTGCCTTGAGCGAGGTCGACTTTGGGGTGCCTTAAGTCGATATACTTCACTCGGTAGGCGAGTAGGTGGCCACTCGGTCGACTAGGTCGAGGGTGGACTTGTAAGCAAATTCTTCGGGAAGATTCTCAACCCTAGCCTTTTTCCTTCCTTTTCCTTGATATCTCAGGGGTGTTAACCGCCTGGCCTTTACTTGCTCCCGATCCACTAGGGTAAGGAGACCGCTTCCGATAGCGGGTCGATTGGGGGGGGTGCTACTCAGACGAACCCTGAGGCCAAATATATCATGGGGTTATATTTGCACTTGAGTCTTACCACACAAATGTCTTCGACAGGGGGGGAATTATATCCCTTTCCGGTATAGGTGGGTAGACTTATGTTAGTTCCTTGCGAGCACGACGGAGGCGTGCAATGTAGATCGCAAATTGAGTAGTATTTAATATAGTCCTATCTTTTAACTCCTTTACTCAATTTTTACCCCGAGACCTGATTCTTGATTTTGCTTGGCTAGGGTATATCGACTTAAGGACCGAGAGTCCAGGGACCGAGGGGCCAAGGTCTATCGACTGAGGACCGAGGTCCATTGACGAATGATCAAGGTCGACCTTTAGGGACCGGGGCCAAGAGTCCACCGACCAAAGAGCCAAGGTCTATTTTTATGAAAGACCGACGTCTACCAATGATAGTCCAGGGTCGACCTTAAACGACCGGGGTCCGCCTCGAGGAACTGCGGTCCATTGGGCTAACCCCCTCGGTTAATTCTTTTGAATGGCGCGCTTTGATCGTACATCCTCTCTTCCAATGGTCGTTCCCCATCCCCTTTAGCGCTCCGTTTCTTAGTTCCCTTACCCAACGGTCGCCCCTTCTTGGCAAGTCTCTTTTTCTTCGACCCACTGGTCCTCTGACCTCCCAGTTCATGAAACGCTTCACCACAAAACTGCCAGATGGAAGATTGTAGTGGCAATCTTGGAGTATAGAGTAAATTTGTTGGTGAATGAGGCTGAATATCGGGATCTGCTGTTAGCCTTTGAATGCTTACAGATCAGATGAATGGAAGGGTGATCATCTGTGGGGATTCAAACTTGGTGATCCGGCAGATGCGGGGAGAGATAGATTGCAATGTCTGGACTACAGCTTTTACGTCAAAAAGGCTATGGAAAGACTTCGATCGTGGCCCACATAATAATACACATATGAAACGAGACTGGAACCGACGTGCTGGCCAGATAGCAAGCGAAGCATTACATCGGGAAGGCGCTACTGTCTTTTAGTTTAAGCATCAAGATCTGATGAGCTTCAATAGATTGGACGAGCTTCTAATAGCAAAATGAGCCGATCAAGTAGTCAAGACGGCCGCGACCATCCGATCGGCTGTAATAGACGTCGTCAACCTGAAGTACTGCGAGAAGAGATCGTGCAACAACTTCGAGTCGAGCAAATCAAGCAAGCGCAAGACTAAGAAAATGGATCGCCTACTTGAGAACGCATCTGATTGGGGACATGGCGACGCTAGATGCTGAGTCAGCAAAATCAAGTGCTCTGATCGCGCCAGATTATGAATGGATAAAAGTGGATTGTTGTTTCTCTGACCTCGATCGGCTGCCAATTCGGAGGATCGAGTGGAATTGGTTTGCTTGGTGGTGCCAGAACTATTGCAACAGGATTTCTTACACCATTACCATTCGAGTTTGGAAGGCGGTCATCAAGGAATTGGCGCATTAAAAGGCTAATGCCAGCCCCACTCACCCAACATGCACGGCACACATCATGTATCAGTCCGACGACGCCATCTGTCATGTTACAAATTTCGAATGGTAAAAATAGGGCCACCGATGGTCAATTCCAACAAGGCGTACTTCATAACGTATTGTCGCGCTGTTTTAAATACGCTAGATAAGTAAGTATAAATCTGCTTCATAACGGCGCCTATAGCCGCATGTCATCAGCAGCTGGTTGTCTATTAGTACAACTGTCAAAAATGCATAGATTTCGGAAAAACGCGGTACCATCTACATGGTACAATATGTGGTATGGCTACATTTTAGTTCGCCATGACACCGCATGAAGAAGAGCTGGAGCTCCCGCCAGCGCCCCGATCGCTGTGGGATTTTGCGAGCATCTTGTCACCTGTAGTCAAGTACTATGTAGCGTTGCTGGCTCTTTTCTTTGTAGCACGCTGGTTTAATCGTCAGTTGGATAACGAGGCGGATGCACAGGAGCGACAAGGACAGAGACCCGTTTTATCCCCAGGATTGACCGTTGAAAGCTCGGAAGAGGAGGAAACTGAAGCGATTGAGGAACTTGTGACGGATGGAAATCGACTTGTACGAATGGATGGTCAAAAGGGTCATAAGGTCCATAAGAAAAAGATGAAAAATACCGCCAAGGAACTCTTTGATGGGCTCCGGAAGGTAGAGCAAGAGCTACGGGACAAGAAAGCCAAGGAGGACGCTGAAGATAATGTGAGCTGGAATGAACTTCATTCGAATATGCTACGCCGTTACAAGGAAAAATATCCAAATCATGGACCGCGTGTGGCTAATGACGAGACGGACAAGTACGATGAAGAGTTTAATGAGTTACTGCGAAAGAATAACATTGATCCAAATGAGCTGAAGAGTCGTAACATGAAGAAGACCGCGTAAAAGAAAAGACGTCGTCATATTAGATACAAGTCGAACGTCTAGAATTTGACCCGCTTGATATTCTTCCGACTGCTTGTTGGACGCGTATCCTGTTCCTCGTATTTTTCGTCTTCTTCTCCTTCTAGACCGAGCTCAAACGAGTCAAGAGCGTCACCAGTCTTGTCTCCATTGTCTTGACCAACAACGTCTTCGTCGTCATCTGTAAATGTAGTCTTTTTGTTCGTTTTCGCACCACTGCTTTCGTCTGCTGAGATGTTGCCAACTGGACAACCCCGCGCTAAGTGCTCAATGCTCTTGCAGACTTTGCAGCAACCACCCTTGGGATACACACCCATGGTGTTCTTGGGACACTTGCTGCTGAAATGACCTTGTTGACTACACACAAAGCACGTTGCATAAGTTGCACCGCCATTTTCTTGAGGATTGGGGCAGTCGCGTAAACTGTGGTCACCTGCGCCACAATTGAAGCATACGACCACTTGTTGCTGCTTGCCAAAGCCACCGCCATGATCTTTCTGTGGACAATTATGCGATGTATGACCACGTCGACGGCACTGAAAGCACGTTTTATTAAGGTCTCCAGCTGCACGGTTAGGACAGTCTTGCTTCCGGTGCGTCATCTCACCACAGAGCCAACAGCTACCATCATTGGCATTGTTAGCAAACTGCGCTTCCTCGCGCTTGGCGCGGATTTTGGCCACAATCTCCGCCCTTTTCTCGCGTTTTGCTTGCTGCCTTGCTTGCTTAAATTGTTTTGCTTTCGATTTTTTGGCCTTGCGCAATTGTCGTCGATTCTGTAGGATCAACTTGCGCTCTTCCGACACGACTTGTTCTACCATGAGAAATACTGATCCGTATAGTGCGTCACAAATGAGCTTTTCAAAAATTTGGTTGGTGGGCGTCTTTTTCACTGGCTTTAGTAAGTGAATACGCACCGTTTGCTTCACCTGTAAAACATAATAATACCTTCGTCGACATCGCGAGCTACCATGAAGGTAGTGTGCGTTTCGGATACGCATGGATTACACGAGGACGCACTTGCTATTCCACGTGGTGATGTATTCATTCATGCAGGTGATTTTACAGACACGGGTGAACGACATGAAGTTGTAGCATTTAATCAGTTCCTAGGACGGCTACCACATCGATATAAACTTGTAATAGCTGGCAATCACGAATCATCGTTTGACCGTCACTTTTACCCGAAATATTGGCACCAATATGGACATCAACAACAGTATGATCCAAATGAAGTACGTGCGCTACTTACGAACGCTCTGTACTTGGAAGATGAAGCAGTACTTATTGAGAACTACCTTTTTTATGGGTAAACACATTGAAGTGTAGAGCTCGATTCTACATTTTGTTCATTGGAAAGATCTTGTACTCATCTAGTGCCTTCTTTTTTGCCATGTAGTACACCCTGGCAACCGGAATTTTGCAATTGGGCATTTAATTTGCCTCGAGGTGATCCATTACTACGTCAATGGAGACTCATTCCGACGGATACCGATGTGCTCGTGACACATACGCCTCCAATGGGTCACGGAGACCTCGTTGGTTGTCAACGCGTTGGCTGCGCCGATCTGCTGCATGAAGTGGAAAATCGAGTGCGACCCAAGTTGCATGTGTTTGGACATGTGCACGAAGGCTACGGACGCAGTACCAGCTCCGATGGAAAGATCACATATGTTAACGCCTCGATATGCACTCACGACTACGAACCTGTCAATCCGCCCTTCGTGTTTGATTTGAATGGGCCACCAAAACGAGGCTGGCCTAAGCACACGATGCCATTGATGACTCCATCGTCCTGCGATAGTCCGAGTATTCGTCGCAATATCAGTACTAATGGCGTCAGTAGCCTCAGTAGCCTCAGCAACCTCGATACTGGCATGGATGCGGTACCACCAGTCGAAGCGCAGCCCAAAGATTATGATCTGATGCTGCACGCATGGCTACGTCTCTGCTCTCACAAACCCCCGTTTGTTGAGCGACAAGAAGTGAAAACGTGCAAAAAGAAGAGTGAGACCAAACTGCAGGATTTTCGTGTGGACGGTACGGCCTCTGGGCTGCTTTTTGAAAGCACGTTAAAGCTGCGCCCCGTGATGAATGTACAAAAGCGTGCGTTGCGGTATCTCTTTTCACAAGGGTTCCGCAGCAATTTAGATAATTACCAGGGCGAGAAAGTTGACAGTCAAACAGTTGTAGTACCGATGAAGCAAGAAGAGTCCGCGATGAATGCTGAAGATGACAGTGAAGTTAGCGAGTCCACGAAAGAGCGGCGAAACTATGGGATCTCTCGCCGTGTTACAGTAGCCGTTTTGAAGGATATAGACGAGGGTAAAGAAGGAATGGATGATCGTGATCGAGAGCACGTGCAGCAGGCTCGTGTAGCTGCTGCTGCCCTTGGTAAAGCGACAAAAGCTCAGTCTCGTCGTTCCGGACGAAACAAAACACTGCAGCGCCGATCAGCGATACCGAAGCTTGCTTCACTAACTGAAGAGCCGATTGAAGGCGAAACGACACCAAATTGTACCAGTTCAGCGGGTATATCAGTACAGGAAGAACGATCAAGTGAAGATGCCGCTGTTTCGGAAACTATCGTTGTAACCTCACGCATTGTCGAGTGCGCGTTGTGCAAGTATAATGTTGCCGGTCACGTTCATCCAGATTTACACCCCACACTACCGCCAGCTTCAGCAAAGGTCCTTCAAGACGCAAATGAAGAGGAAAAGGCGTCAAATAAGTGGCAGTGCAAGACTGAAAACCCACCACCATCCAACCGTTTATCATCTTGGTTCTGAGAATAGTGGTTAACATTCAAGTACACTGCAATCGTATATTCTTATCTCAGGTAGGTGGCATAGGCATTTTGAGACGTCGAGACGCGGAGGCGATTTTATTGGCTTCAAAGTGCATCACTCAATTGATCAGGGTGCTCTCGGCTACGAAGTACATCAACAAGTGTCCACGGTTGAGTAGGCCACTGCGACGCATACGCGTCTTTATGGCTTCGTCTAGCGCAAACGAAGTAGACCTGTCATCAATTAACTACAGCATGAAGACAAATGTGGGTAGACTATGGATTTCTTGGCCATGTACCGTGCGGTCAAGTGCATTGAGCAGGTCGGACCGTGCTAGACTTCGCTTACGCCAAAAGTGTGGTGATGCACCGACCACCGCTTGCATAGCAACCACGCCAAGTTACTACGTGGTGCGCCTCGCGCACGTTACGATAGCGTTATGACCGACTTATAGCATGGAGGTGAGACTTGTAAGAATTTCCTGAGAAGAAGCAGATAACTATGTGATAAAGCTTTTTTTGTTTCGTTCCGTTGTATAAATGTGTTCATGCTTGCTATTACCGGCGGGTTATCGGTTTAATCAAGGCATTCATCGCCTCAGCAGTCTCGGGAGCCAATTTGTAGATGGATTCAGCCACCATGCGCTGCTCCACGATTCGCGACCAAATGAGTTTTCGGTACTCAACGTCAGACAACCCTACCTCATCAGGCTCTGAGGTTCTAGGTTGAGGTATCTCAATAAGCTGAACGCCTCGAAAGGAGTTGACCTGCTGATCTGCAGTTCGTGACAGCACAGAGAGTGGGGACTCTTCTTCCGCGGGTAGTCTAACAATTGCCGCACCTGCGTGAGTAGTCATGCCAGTGATAGCAAGCTTTTTCGGGCGTTTGTCAAGAGTTGTTGAAACCCAACCGGCTTGGACTTCGGCACGCGCGACATCTACGGCTGCAAGGTGGTCAACTTGGAGGACACACCGCTTGCAAATGAGCACTTCTTTTTGTCGGAGCCACAATTTGGAATTCACTTCTTTCATGATACGTGGAACTCGACAACGGAAGCATGTGATTCGAGAACACAGCATGCAAAAGAAGGCGCCACTTACCAGTTTAAAGAGTCGTCTTGTGCATGTTCCACAGCTACTTGAGAGTTCCAGAGAATGAGATTGGGGCCAAAGAGACAATTGATAATCGCTTGAAGAACCTGCGTGACTAGAGCAGCTGACGCTACTGCTAACTTGTGGATGTTGAGTCGAGGTACGATCTCTGTGTCTTGCTCGACCTCCATCCATTAGCTGACGGAAGCACCACATAAGTTTCTTGAGGTTGGCACACTCGACTGTGTCCCAAGAGCTGATAAATTCTGTTGATTCTGCCTTTAGAGCTACCGAGTTTAGTATCTTACCACATGTCTCCACATATCCCTTGACGAACACGTCGACTTTGGAGTGTCTGCTTCCGAGACCTGCCGGGACCTCTCTGAAAATGGAGCAGCGTGAGATGTGACCACGCGTTACTTTTGCTCCCAACCAAGGCGTCGTATCTCGATATTGTGACAAGTTTACGGAGTGGAGAAGATGGTATCCAATACGTTCTCCATTTGGTCGCGTTGTAACTCCTGTAGCTTCGAGGACCACCAAATCTCTAGCGCGTACGATGCCTTTGAACGCAGTAGAAGGACCTTTCACAAGCCATTTGATACCGAGGAATCGAAACGGGTCGGTATTGCATGGAGCGTCAATGCAAGCTAGCACCGCTCCATTGATTAGTTTGTTCTGAAGTACTGTATCTTTAAGCAGCATGTTTTGTGCATCGGCTGACGTGATGCCGTACACAACGTCGTCTAGAGTCCCTTCGATCCAGCCGGTGGCCACCAGCAATTTGGGCTCCGTCCACTGGCTGGCATGAAATGCCATGGACACTCGGTCCATTATATTGGCTTCGGACCGTGAAATTGGGTAGCGTTCCTCGTACACTGTGATGTGGTCTTTCTTCTTGACGGGCTTCCACCGACGTTGACTCATGGATCTTTGTCTCGGGTCAGCGTCGTAGATATCGTAGTCCCGCAAAGTATTCGAGAGTAATTGAGTCGCTAATACTCGAAACTTTTCACGCTGATCCGTCGACAGCTTAACGGGTGGCAGGGCACTGGTCGTCCAGGTCGTGGGGCAGAAGTTCTCAGTGACATCGCTAAGTTGCCGCGTCATCATCTTCTCGGCTTATGTGTAGGACAGCAAAATTGAAAGTGACAAATTGGTGGGGTAGTGCTCTGTGTTAGAATGAGGTAGCAGATAGGGCCTAAGCTATACTTGTTGATCGAATCACGTACAATTCGTGATACTGTGGTGAGTCCCGCGTGACAGCATATGAAGTCGATACTCGGCCTTTGACGCAGTCTTTCAGTGCAGTGCAGCCTTTTTGTCGACAATTGACAGAGTTGCTGTGGCTTCGCATGAGTCAAGTAACGTTTCAGTGTCAACACATCAGCTGCACCTGTGCAAATGCTTGCAAGATGAAGACCTAATACCAAACGATGATGTAGTTAATATCTCGACTTTCACTACCTATAGCGTGGACATACTGCATTCAAAACATGTCGGTATTTCTCATGTATTGACTCCCTGCGTTTTCATTCTCTCGTTCATCTCTCATAAACTACCTTGAGATGAGCGTCTTCTATTCTCTTTAAATCTGTTCACTTGTTCTTTCTCCAACGGAGCTGAAGCCCAGACCGCAGCAAGAAGCTGTTGTACGCTTTGCAATCTGGTACGTGTTTTCCACGGCAATTTGCAACTCCGTCAATTGTTGCCACAATTGTTGGCGCTCTTGTGTGGTCTCTGTAAACGCGGGAGTGATGGACCAGCCGTCCTCGTTGTTTTCGTCCACGGTGGTGTATCTCTCGCTGTCTTGGATGGACAAAGGCCAGCTGAACGAATTGATAGGTGAGGTTGTGCTCATAGAATTGGCAACCGTCGAACATTGCGAAAGAGTTCTCGACTGGCACTCACGAAGCATCGTAGATTCTTCGAACAGCACTGGCCTCCACTCGTCATTCACCTGCTTCCGCTTCTTGTGACGACCAAACCAGCAAGACCTAGAGCGTTCAAGACAAGCGTTAGGAACCTGACCTTGTTGCTGCTCAAGCTGGTGTAGACACTGAAGAACCATGGCGCTGACAGCACTGCCTGAGGAATCAACGTTTGAGTGTGTAGTTGCATTCGGATCTGCCATGAAGAAGTTCGATTCTGAAGTAGGGTCTGCGCTGGCATATCTACAGGACGGTGAGGGTACTGCGGACCATGGCGCCTGTGCAATGACAGATGGTGCCTGCCGAAACTGGTTGCTGAGACAACAGCGGTAGCGGCCTTCGCAGATTTCCTGCTTTGCGATACTTATCACAGGCTCAAGTCGAACTTTTGCCAGACCGGCAAATGACACGCTCTTGACGTTCAAGCTTTAGATCGCATGTAGAGGAGATTAGCGTTTTGCTAACGCGGCACTTGGACCATACTGCAATGTGACAGAGCGAGCACACGCCAGCTTTCTTCATTTTGCGGCCACATGTGCCACCGCACCGATCATTGAGACTGATTGCAGTGGAGCTATGCAAAAAGATGCTTCTTGACTCAGTATAGCTCGTACTGGCGTGCGATAGCATCGGTGTTCCAGCGACGGGGCCCTGGGAGCACATCGCTGCGTCTTGCTCCCAAGTCACACGTTGTGGGTTTTCAAGAAACCACTGAAGCTTCTTGACCTGGCTACATTCGGCAGCATTGCATGCGCTCAGAAATTCCGTTGACGCCGTTTTGAGAACCACCGAATTTAACAGTTTGCCGTGCTTCTCCGCGTAGCCGCGAACGTACACGTCAACTCGTCGCCCACTCTGTTTCTCTATAAAGATGTTACAGCTTGAGATTCTCCCGCGCATCAAACAGTGTCCAGGTAGCGTGTCATATCCGTCCAAGTCCACCGAGTGCAGTACTTGATAACCGATGCGGTCGCCATTGGAGCGCGTGAAGACCCCCGTTGCCTCGATGACTACCAAGTCTTGCAGCTGCACAAAGCCCCGAAATATGGCGGGAGGTCCTCGGACGAGCCACTTGATTCCAAGAAACCGGAACGGTACGTCGGACGAAGGTCCGTCAATCTGCGCTAGTACAGCGCCGTCCGTAAGCAAATTGCGCATTATGGCAGTTTTTAGCATCATGTCTTGGGCATCGGCCATTACGACACCGTACATGACGTCGTCAAGCGAGCTACCAATTGAACCCACGCTCATCATCAGTCGAGGCGTCTTCCACTTGTTTTCGATGAGTCGCTGGTGCTCCGGAGTGTCGAAGCACGTCCCGGTGATTATTTTGGGCGGGTGTCGCTCCTTGAAGACCGTCAAGTTGGCTCGGGTCTTGACCCTTTTCCATCCTGTGTGTTTGGCCAAGTCCCGTTCGGACTCCGGCAATTTTTGAAACGAATCGGCATGTGCCAACGTCTCACGCACCAAATCGCGTGCCAGGTGGCGGAATTTTGACTCCTGCTGTGCTGTAAGGTTCAACGGTGAATGCTTCTTGTTCCATTTGATGCCTTTCATACAATGTATCGACTACAAGGTGAATTTCGATAATGCACGTTCCTTAAGTCCAAAGCTTGTACTAGTGAAGGAAGCTTTCAGATTGATGGAGGTCATGATGGCAACTATCTGACACTATGCCAGAACTAGACAGAGTTGGTTGCATGACTTCAAGCGACTCGGACACGAAACCAGATGCAATGAACGGGATTTGTAAGCTTGAGCAAGTAGTGATGGATATCGCGACAGTCAGTCACGTCAGACGTAGCAATTCTTGTAAGTTTCATTCAGCTACACAATACCGGATGCTTGCTATTCGCAGTATCTTAGGCTCCTTTTGTAGATCTGTGTTGGTCCACTATCGTCACTTGGTTCAACGACCGATTGACTGTCGATACGATGGATTTGTAAGAGTTTCAGCTACAATGTCTAGAGATCAAGCTGACGATTTGTGGCGTGCTGCAGCGGCACAACTGTTCTGCCTCCTATTCTTTTATCCCCCTACACTTGCTCTGTTTTTGACATATATCGGGTGCCATGACGCTCGAATCAGCCGGCTCTTGTCCTCTTACCCACACTATGCGTCCTACTCACCGCCTCAAGGCCGTAATCTAAAGGCCAGTGGCACGGTGAACACACTGGCGACCAAAGGAAGAAACCGAATAGGGTAGATCTCGCTTGCATGAGACTGAACACGCATGTATGATGATGATGGGCATCTTTCTATGATCGAATCGCTTTCGTTCCGCTATGAGACTGTTTGAAACAGCCTTGGCGGGTTTGATGAACTAGAACTAAGGTCCGTGGAAGGTTTAGTTGTTGATTTCACTATCACGCTATGATATGTACTAGCAGTCTTCTGCTGGCATGGTCCGTTTGGGTTGCGCTCTTAGTTTGCAGTGCATGAAATCCACCGCATTGTAGCTGCGTCTCCGACGCGATAGCGACAACGACCAAAAGCAAACGCGAAGCATATCTAAGCAAATTGGAAGACGTCAGCCACGAACTCAAGCAAATCACCACGTGAGTCCTGATATTCTTATGCCCCAGGCACTAATGTTTGTCTTGGTGTGAATGTGATGGCGTTTTGATTGGCACGGGCTTGTCCACTGTAGCAAGTAAGATAATAGAATTGACCACGTTGCCATGTAAAAAGTGGCTTCACGTCTGTCAAAGAAGCGCTTGCTTCATGCATTCCGCCACGTTGTTGGTCACAATCCACATTCATACACCGAGTGTCTTCAGCTTCCGTTAGAAGCGTGTTTGGACGTATCATTGTCTGCAGCGCCCCCTCGCTTTTAGTGCTGACGGCTGTCAGTAAAAAAATCGACCCGGCAAGGATAAAGCCAACAAGTCAACAACATCCATCGCACAGTACCGACTATTATCTAAAGCGCACAAGTGCGTCCGGATTCGAGGGACGCATCCATATACAACTTGTCTACTGCACTTATTCATGTCTGAGTGTATTTGTGAGTAACGCAAAGCTTACAAGAAGGCTTCATTTTGTATTACCAAGCACAGGCAAGATAGCAGCATCAATGCGTTTGAATCATATGCTATTGCGTCATTGTAGCCGTGAAAGGCAAAGCTCTGACCAATGCAATTTTGCGGTAAGAAAGTGGTTGCTATTGCGCCCTTTCAAACAAGTAGCATGTGTCGGTACTTTTCGATCATTTGAAGCCGTAAAAAGAACAGGACCACTTGTACGCCAATGGGCATCGGCTGGCTCAGCAAAACATTGTGCATTCGAAAAGGCACGCCAAGCGCAAAGATGTGAAGCCAGCTTCTGACGTGCGTTAGCTAGAGATCGAAGGTTCTATGCGCTTGTGTCGTGCGTCCATAATGTCTGTCAATTAAAGGTGATGAGCGACAGTCTGATCGAGCCACGTTAATCGTATTCATTTCGGCTCTATCGTTGGCGTAATCTTTCGATGCGATGTCAAACTACGATCGTACTTCGAACTGATAATTGCATCGCAAACTGTAAGGTATCCTGCCTGCCCTACGCAAGGATCATGGTCAGTAACGATCTCAACGGATCGATTCCAAATGATACACTCGGGTATCAATTTGCAGTGCATACTTTATGGCAACGCATTCCCTGTCATCTGTAGGTTTAGCAAGCAGACGGATAGTAAAGGACATGATGACATTCTTCGTAATCGGATTGCATCGCGTCTTTGGTTCCGAGGCGATGAACGATCTTGGCCGGTCACGTCACGATTGGCGTTTCAGCCAAGCCATAGCTTGAAGGCATCAATATCCATTGGCTTGCCATAGATTAGTCATATACAGCTTCTCTATACAAGCTGCGAGCGACTCTCTCCACCGTATATCGCAAGGCCTAAGGCACTACTTCATTTTCGGAATAAAAGCCACCTTAATGGTCTCAAACAGAGTGTGGCCCAATGGACGTGATGTGATTGCTTTCGCTCCGAAGATGCAAGTAAGATTGTATACAAAGTGCAGTTAGTTACGCATGAGCAGATCCGTCAAATGCGTTTAGCATTTGTCAAAGCGTTGGAAGGGTAGTTTCAATCATGGCATGACAGAACAGATTCATGGCGCATCGCTTACAGGCATCTCTACGATGAACTCATTGAATTACGGTATTGACACAGCCTTTAACTTGTCATATCATTGTTCATCTACTAGCTGCCGTCAGACATGAGCTTCAAGCATCAGGCCCTAGTCGAACCGAACTCGCCATGGACATGTCCAGTCGAGTTTCCAGCACGTGAAAGACTGACGTCCAAAATTTACCCGTAAAACGGGGGTCTCTATCTGACACGATTGCCACAGGCAATCCGTGTTGTCGAAACACACGATCCATGAACAGCTTATCTATTACTTCTCCATCGATGGAGCCCGGCACTGCCGCTAAATAAGCCATCTTGTTCAGTCGGCCAACAAAGACCACAATGCCAGTGCTGCCTGCCTCATCGCGCGATAGGCCAAACACAAAGTCCATACTAATGGAATGCCACAACCCCGAGGGTACTGGCAAACTCGCCAAAGGCGCAGCCATTTTAGACGAGGGCTTCACCCTTTGACACGTTTCACACGTGCGTACGAGATTTCAACCCATTTGTACAACTTGGGCCACCAATAATGCGTGCTCACCGAGCTGTAGGTCTTCTCACGACCTAAATGGCCACCAAGTGGTGTATCATGAGCCTCATAAAGTATCTGATACTTGAGGTCCTTATCATGAGGAACCACAACACGTAGCTGGTCTCCGACACCGTACTATAGTACAACAGGCCATCGGTCAGTGCATAACGATGTAATCTAACGATTACGTGGTGACAGCTTCACCTTAGAGTTTTCAAACTCTGCGCTACCCAGCGCCTGCAGAATGGCAACACATGCCTCATCGCGTGCATACGCCACACGGATACGATCCGTTACTGACGAACTTACAACAGTGAGATGAGCAAGCTCATAGTCAGGTTGACGCAATAACGCGTCGGCCAAAACATTCTGTTTTCCCGGCCTATACTTCACCTCGAAGTTATACTCCACAAAAAAGGAGAGCCAACGAGCCATTCTCTGCGAGAGATGAGGCGACTGTGTCGCTGTGCGTAATGACACATGATCGGTATAGATCACAAACGGCTTTGAGCCCAACACAAGGGCATACTTCATCGCAAGTAGCTCCTTGTCATGAACTGGATAGTTCTTCTCTGCAGCTTTCAGCTGACAAGACTCAAACGCGATGACGCGTTCTCGACCCTCAGAGTCGACTTGCAAAAGTGCACTGCCAATGGTGACGTTCGAAGCGTCACACACGACGCTAAACGGTCGATCAGGATCAAATCCATGGCTTATGACGCTCTAGCCATGCCTTGCCTAAGATGAGGTCATACCTCGCATCCAGGTCTAAGACCAGACAGCGTTCGATGCTGTTAAAGTCCAAAAACTTCACATTAAAGTCCATCGGGACTTGGGGTACCCTAACACGCTTACCAGTCGCTAAGCGAACGGTGACTGTGTCACTCTCACGCGCTACAAGCGCTCCAGTATACTGCTGACTACCTTTCACGATGGCACGGCGCACATAATTGCCCGATGCCCTCGAAACGATCAAAATGATCCATAGCTTATCATAGCCCTTGATCGTCCTTCGACGACTAGCAAGCCTGGCTTGCATTCTCGTTCCGTTTTTTAAGTTCGACGATTTTTTTGGTGCTGGGCCCTGTTTGCTTCTGCCTCCTAGAGGCTCAACAGAACTCAGTTCTTCCCCAGTAGGAAGTCCCACGCCTACTGGGTTCCGCCGTTTCCCCGCGGCAAACCAGAAGGTTTACCCATGGGGCGTCGCCCCTTCAAGGCCAAATATGCCTTTCTTGCAGAGCATTTTGCCATCAAATGGCCTGTGCTCTTGCAGATATAACATCTTCGCACAATTTGCTGCTCTGCAGCTTGAAGCTCAGCTTCTTCATCCTCCACTTGACTACAGTCCATGGGTACAAACAGACCCATCAGACGAGTAGTTATAAGTGGCAGACCTAGCGGCCTTAAAGGTGGTCTCGGCATTCCTTGCCACTCCAACAGCTTCCTCAAATGAGGACGGGTTTACCCGGAACACTTCCGTTCTGGCAACGCCAACTCGGATGCCCTCCATGAAGACCGTGACGGTCGCTGCCTCAGGCATAGGGTCTATGACCATGGCAGCAATGAGAGTTCTTAACTCTTGTACATATGCCGCAAGCTCACGCTTGCCTTGGCGACACGCCATAAATCGCGACCGATTACGGTGTATTTGGTTTGGCGGTGCATACTGCCGGGTCATCTGAACTTTCAGATTGGCCCATGTGGAAATGCATCTTGCAGTGATGCACCACATGTGAATGCCCATTTTTTGACCAATCCATCCAACTTGCCCGTGGCAAAGTCCACACGGTACGCTTCATAGGTGATGTCGGCTATAAACATAGCCGACTCGACCTGTCGGAACCAAAGCATAAGGTTGTCACCTGCTCTGCCGTCGAACTTATCGACTTCCATATGTATGGGTTTTGGTCTGCGGACCACTTCTGGCGCCATATTCGCCATCGACAAAGGCACAGATGAAGGCATCAGTGCCTTTACATGCTCAACTAGAGCGTTGTTATATTCTTCAAGCATATGAATACGCTTGTTAACCTCTTCTTCGCCTTGGGCGATGAGGTACTCCACGCCCTTAGGGCCAAGGATAGGGAGCCGATTTGCAACCTTTCCTGTTGTGCCTGTAACAGGCCAACAGCTGACATCTCTAAGATGTCCATTCTCACACAGAGAAGTAGTCGCACAACCAAGTGCATGATTGGCTACAAGTGCTGCCAGGTGTAGCCGAGCTACTGTAGCTACGCTACTTATGCACTATGTGCAGAGGAAGACGGGCTTCTAGAGCTGTGTGTTAGGGTTCTTCACCCTCCCAAGGCTAGCTCACAAGCTTATGCCTTTTGGTTGTGAACAACCGTGTCTCCGAGAGACCAGTATCAAACATACAATTCCTCAAGAGGAATAGAACGCTCAAGAAGTGATACTGTTAGAGCGAGCTTGAAACTAGTTTATATTTCTGTTTATCTTCTAGAACTAAATATAGAAGCACCTACTCAATACTTAGTGCTAGTCACTATTTACTGGCTCTGTAGCCTATTTATATGCAAACATGCAATGTCACTATACTTAACAAAGTATAGTGACCACGTCTTCGGTCACATCAGAACCTACAATGTACCTAAGGTACAGCCACACCACATTGGTGGTTTAGGTGTGTACGAAAAATACACACCTTCGTGTAATTCCGTTACAAACATACTTTGGCTACATGATCACATGTGTACTGGGTATTAAAGGCAAAACAACGCTGACATATTTCGACACCCGTATAAGTTTATAGAGTGCTGGTGTGCTTAATTTGAGCGACATAGATGTGGTGGGGCCTATAAGCCGATACACCTGAAGGATTGCACGTACGTATCGATATTCATAAGTGATTACTTACACCACGTCACGGTGTACTTCTTATAGGAAATATCGGATGTGCTGCCCATGTTCCAGCTTACAAGAAACAATGGCGACTGCAACATAACACACGATCAACTGCACTTTGTCGGACAGCGGCGATATGTACACTGGTCGCCATTCTGTGGCCTAATTTTACCATGCCAAAACTACTGCTACGAATGATTTCTCTTTATGAACACCGCAGATAATTGTAAGCGTTATTTAGTCACATCCGAAATGCCTTTAAGGCATACTGTTGTAAGTGCTTCCTTGTTTTGTTGTCCCGTGCGGGTGCGTAAAAACTTTCGCTGACTGTATTTCCAGCAAATTGGACCATTTGGGATTCGTCGAGGTCACAGTTCAGAGCGTAGAAGTAGCACATCTTCTTTCCCAGCGCACCCTCCCTAGCCTGGCGGTTCTCAATGGTCTAGAATGGCAATTGAAAACTGCTGTGCTATCACTCTCTGTTTGTTTGCTAGAGCTGAAGTTGCAGGTAGCAGAGCAAACGCCAAATTCTGCAGTCGCTGTTTGAAAGGCAAAAGTCGACTACGAAATGAGCTGCTACCTGTACGCAATCGCTTCAGAAAGCAAAAGGCGGGGATCAGAGCAATGTTTTGGCAGTCATGAGTGGTTTTGTCGATAAAGGACGACAGCTTGTGATTTGTCAACAAGTCTTTCGGTCGAATACAAGCTTATCACGACAAGCACTTAAAATGTAGACAGTATCGCATGATTAAGGTACGAATTGATTTCTGGCTTTGTTTGAGCGACTAGAGACTGAGGGACGAATACAGTAATGTACGTTCAAGCTAAGCTCTTGACGGCTCAGGTCCTCTGAATGGGTTCAGAGTAAAGGTCCTTGAGCAATGCAAGCAGTTCCAGAAGCAAGTGCTACTCGGAGCGTGACGTTCCCGTGCGAAACGAAAGGTGACGACATAGTAGTCGTATCAGTGGGATGGCACGTCTTCATGGGCGGTTGATTGACAGTACACCACATGATTCCATCACTACGAGCTACTCAAATATGAGGCTGGGATTCGTGTGACGATTACAGGCGGTAAGACTCTGAAAGTTGCAGGTTAACAACGCAGTTTCACAATGTCGCATCATGTAATTTTAAAACGCAAAAGGCACCAAATCTTGCTCATGCGGCATAACATCCTAGCGTCACGTCTGAAAATGACGCTGGAACAGCGGCAGCTTCAGGTACGATGACACGTTTAAAAAGAAATTGCCAAACCCGGTGAGCCAGCAAAGCGGCTACGACCATGTGAGAAAGTAATGAATGTACGATTAGAATCTCGTCAGTCCAGAAACTGTAGCTATACGCCGTCGAATCAAGAGACCGAGGAATGGTGCTCTAAGTCACGACCTTAGTTCCATGAATGTCATCAAAGCCGCAAGCGCTTCTAGAGATCACTTGAACACGAGAAAGACAGTACGTTGCGCTCATGATATTTCTGGTATATCAAGAATTGGATCAAACTTCCGATACCTGCTCCAGCTTTTAATACCGATAAACTTTAAATTGATGACAATCGACTAGTGAGACACAAAGCTACTGATTATATCTAATGTACATTGTTGTCAGAAGAAGATCAATGACACGCAGATTGCTTATCAGCCATGACATCGTGATGGAACATGATTAACTAGAGCTTGTAATGCAGCTTAAGTAAGAAGCTGTTGCTGTGGCGTCTCACATCTCGCTGCAGTTATGCTCAAGTCCTTTTGTCAAACTCAAAGTGAACTCATCACTATCTTCACCTAAATCACTTTCTTCTACAGAGCATTTCAAACGAGAGGATGTAAGCTTAAACTAAAGGATCATCAATCGAGACCATATTTCTATGGATTCTCACAACAAAGATAGTAATTTATCACGAAAACCCAAAGAGACATTTTCTATCAACCTTACATGGCTTTCACACTAAACGCTTTACATCGTAAGTTCCATGATAGCATTGACAATGTCATTGTCATTCGAGCGAAGAGCGGCTACAGCTTTTGCCTTGCTCACACCAGCTTGACTCATAACTAGCTGGATATCCTTAGCATCAATGTTCGAGTCATCGACGTCCTCATCATTCTCCTCGGTCAGAATCTCTACAGTAGGGGCAGTAATCTCCGGAGCCAAAGTCTCAGCGGCAGGGGCCTTAAACTGTTCAGCAGCCATTGCTTGCGCTTGAGCATTCAAGTCCTCGATCTTGGCCTCGCCGAAAATGACGTATGTTTCGCTCACCGTGCTCTTGAACACATCTGGCTTCGAAATCACAAACAGCATGTTCTTGTTTTTCTTGATAGTTACGCGAATAATGCCACCAATGGACTTCATTCCAAGCTTCTGCATAGCTTTACGCGACTTTTTCTCCGACCGGTTGTGCTTGCCCTTTTCGGCATCAGTGGCGTCTGGAGCTTCCTCAAGAGCTGGAATCTCATCATCTGAGTCCATGTCTTCGTGGTGGTTGTCGTGGTCATGGTCATGGTCGTGTGCGTGATTGTGCTCGAAGTCAGCCATGATGAGGAGTAAATTAACGTTCGAGGTAGTAGACGCTTTGGGGATTAATAGACTTTGTCTGGACCAGTCAGATGACAACCTATACAACAGACTATTTGATTCACCAGGTAAAAAAAACAAAAAAGGATCGAAAAGACAAACTGTCCAGGAGAATATTATAGCAATGTCAGTATTACGAGGGAGGAAACAACACTTAGACAGACACACGACATTTGCCTCGAGCCTCGAAGTCTGTCCATCTATTCTGCTCATCAGTCTTCAAGTCTCTTTGCGTTTCTGTCTGTCTGTCTGCATATCTTTCTGTCTTCCTATAAACCTCATTAGTTCACGCATTGACAGGAACAATATCCGTCACACGCAGTACAGTCACTTTACGACGAAACCCGTTCCAACGGCGATAATTCTTTCGGCGTTTCTTCTTAAACACGTCAATTTTCGCATCCAGCGTCTGCTCTTCCACACGCGCACGCACTGTAGCACCTTCTACAAGCGGTCTTCCCACAATCGTTTGATTCACGTTTCCCAGCAGCAATACCTAAAAGGAAACAGTAATGTTTGTATGAGATATATTATTGAATTTAATGTCACTATTCACGTCAGTAAATGCCTCCAAGGTCACACGTACCTCATCAATATCCATGATCTCTCCAACCTTAGCGTCTTTAATCTTCTCAGTAATCACGACGTCGCCCTGCGTCACCTTATACTGTGTACCAGCAAGCTTGACCACAGCAAAATAGTCTTCTGGTTTAATCGCGTCAGCACTTACAGGATGATCCACTACTGAATACTTGGGCAGGCTTGACGCGTCAGTTGCATATGTGCGTAATGTCAGGGGTGTTGATCGTCGGATGCACGCACGGAGACTGCGAGATAGAGCTACTGTCGCCATGATGTATCTAGCTGGGGTTTTGTATTGGGGAAATAAATGTTGCGATTATTTGGATGGACTGGACTGGAGATACATTGTAATTAATCAAATATTGTAGTAAACGTGCTATGATTGGATAAAAAGTTTCACATACGTAAAACTTAACATTACAGTGTCCCCCTCCCCCGCATTTTTCCGCACTCGTGGGGCGGCGCATTCCGCACTCGTTTGGTTCTTTCTACTAAAGTTAGAGTGGTGAGTGCGGGTAATAGATTAGGGGAGCGTAAAAGTGACAATCACTCAGTATGAAAACCGAACAGTTGCCGCATCAATGCGCAGCAACTTCGAATAACAGTAACAAGAAGACGAAAGAGAAAATGAAGGCGGAAATCTTTGATGATGTGGACAAGAGGATACAAATTCCAATGGCTACACGTATGAAGATGCAAATGAATATGAAGATGAATGCGAGTCAAAATAATGTAAATCTTCATGAGGATACGCGATTACTGCGCTCAGGTATTGATCAGTATCGTACTTTACAGCAATTGACTACTACATCCAATAAAAATACAACACGACGGTCTCGTGGCTCAGTGGATCGACCAATGGAGCGAGGAATGTCTTTCATGGAGAAGAAACAGTTTGGGGCGGCTATTCCATACTTCACGGAGGCCTTAGATCTCTTGACATTAACTACTTCACCTGAAGTAGCAACAAGCAATAGTACCGTCAAGTTGTACAACCAACGTGGTTTATGCTACTTGGCCTCGCAAAAGTATAAAGCTGCCATTGAAGACCTGTCTAGAGTCATCCATATGACACCAAAGAGTGCCGAGCTGTACGCTAAACGAGGAAAAGCTTATGCTGCCCTCGGAGAACACCAGGCCGCGTTACTTGATTATAGTGAAGCCATTAATTTGGCGGCTACTCACGGGTTACTTCACGATTGTGGGTTGGAAAAGAGAAGTGATGGTTTTGCTTCTAGTAGTGCTACTTTGGTACAATTACGGGGATTGTACTTGGCTAGAGCCAAAGTATACAAGGCTATGAACAATATTACTCACGCTTTGGAAGATCTTAGCCAAGCAGAGAACTCAGCAGGCGGACATCGTGACATTGAGCTCTTTTACGAACGAGCACACTTGTATCTGCAGTGTCATCAAGAATCTTTGGCATTGCAAGATTTCGACAGGTATTTGGAGCTACAGGAAGAAGCAGAGGAAGGGCGACATTTTGATGCTTCAGGTGGTGTCGGTGAACTTGCAGGGTTTGTAGCTCCAGTGGAAGTGGAAGGAGAACCTAAAGCACGGATGCTGGATGTGCTGTTAGAGAGAGCCAAGTTACAGCAGCGAATGGCATTGGAAGAGAATGCTCGGGAAAGGAAAGACATAGAATTAGCTGCAGTAGAACAGGGTCTATCGACGCAGCATTGTAGCAAAGGGGTGAAAAAGTCATTGTATACGTCCGTTCCTCCCAAGCCGGAACCGTATCGAGGTATTGAGTCTCGAAGACTTGAGAAACGTGCTTTGCGTGATTATTCAAAAGCATTGGAACTAGATTCGAGCAATGCAGAGATATTTCGATTGCGTGGTGAAGCACTCATGCATCTTGCACGGCATGAGGATGCACTGGCAGATTTTGCAAGTGCGTTTGAGCTCGATCCTCACGACTTTCAGGTGTGTATGTCTCGCGCAAAGCTTTTCCGTCAGCGTGGAGATTTAAAACGTGCTGTTGAGGAAGTTACTGCTGTGTTGCGTGTAAATGGATTTTTTATCAACGGACTAAAACTGCGAGCGCAGCTTTATGAGGAGTTGGGGGCGATCAAAGAAGCGGAGGAAGACTATTCATCTATTGTTCACGCGCACTTTGAAAAACGTGGAATTGAGGACTCTGCACTTGCTGGTAAGGTTACGATGGAGCTTGCGTCCGGTAGGACTTTGAACGTCGGCGGTCATGTAGGAAAATCGTCTCAGTTGTCAGGAAAGAATGCGAAAGCTGGAGGAAGTGGGAAGATCACAAGCGAAGTCGCGGCGCAAGCCTTGCTTAGTCGCGCGCGGTTGCGGTTGGCTAGTGAGCAGTTTGATGCCGCGGAGGAGGACTATCAGACAATTTTGAAGTCATTTGCCAACAATATGGAAGCTCAGCTGGAGCTGCAAGAGACCTGCGAGCGCAAAGCTGCCTTTGAAGAAAGAAAGCAGCGTGAGGCTTTGGCGTGGCTTGAACAAAATGCCGACGATGTCGATGGTGCCGGAAACGGGAACGGTCCGACCGGAAAGAGTAAGAAGAAAAAAAAGAAGAAAAAGAAAAAGAAAAAAGCTGTTGCTAGTCCTGATGGCTATGTGTTGCTGGAGGACGAAGAGGAATTGCTTCAACAGCAGGAAAAAGAAGGACGGGAATGGGTACAGCGGAGTCCAAACCACGAAGAAGTGTTACAGAATCAGAAGTCAAAGCAAACACAGTTACAAAATGTGGGGGATAAAAAAAAGGAAATGGATAAAACGGAGGGGTCTTCTTTCCGTGTCATGTTGAAGGAATCGCTAGAATGTGACCAGGAAAGTGAAAGTGTGTTAGTGAATGACCTAACAATTGACCAACAGAAGACGGATTCCGTGGCGATGGTGTGTAACGGAAACGAATTGTTGGATAAAATGGACGAAGTGCAGTTGTGTAAACCATTGAGTGAAAGCCTACAAATGGATACTGAGCAATACCGAGACAGCACAACGACAACCATGACTACCCTTCCCACTGTTGTTTTGGCAAACGTCATGACTCGAGATGAAGCCTGGGAGAGCATGTGGGACGAGGAAGCTGATGAGCCGTTAGAAGCTGGAGCAGTTAGAATACGAATCCGAGCTCAGTCTAGTGTTGTTGCTGAAGATGAAGACCAGATTGAAATTGAGACCCCAAGCATGGACGATATTTCGTTAGATAAGAAAAACAAGTTGTTAAATGGCGAAGACCACATATCTGCATGTAATGTCGAGGATGTGACTTCTTTGAACGCTGATGCCGAAGCTAACGATGAGGCTACAGGCAGCAGCGACGATGATGGGAAGGACAGTCAGGGTATGGCAAAGGGTGTACTTGTGGATGAGAAATACTTGAAAAAGCGCGAAAAGCAATTGAAGAAGTTGCGTGCATGTCTACAGCATGCATGTGATGAGCGTGACAAGAATGCAATTGATGAAGCGTTAGCACGTGCCGAGCGCAAGCAAATGAGTGACGCTCTACAAGATGATATTCAACGTGCCCGTGATGTTCTAATTGATATGGCAGCAGAAGCTCAACGGTTGCGTGAATCCTTGCCTCCTCCACGATTTTCTTCAAGCTCAACGTCAGATACGGAGCACGGGCGAATGCATCGATTGATGGAAACGCCTACGACGTCGCCACCAAATGCAGATCCCGGGAAGCTACCCTCGCTTGTGATACGGCCTCTTGCTTATGGTCAGGCATTACAAGCTGCGGAGCAACACCAGCAGCAGTTGCGAGCTCACCAGAAGCTTCTTGAAGAAAAGGATGCAGAGATCGAACGGCTAAAGACACTGGTGGCGCAAAGCGAGCAAGGCCGAAGTGTTTTGAATCCCCAAGAAGGGACACGCAAAACAGAGGTCTGTGTTCACAGCAATTCATTAGCTCTAGTTCGCCGAGCGAATCGGCTGCGAACACATTTCCCTGTGCAAGCTGCAGCAGCACGTCAAGCTGAAGAACTAATAGAGTGGATGGGTCCTAGCAATGCTGCTGACTGTGTTCGGCAACAAGTCCTTTCTTTCGTGCAGCGTGTCATAACTGCACATTTTCCTCTAGCAGCAGCACCGCTGTTCTTCTCCACTGGATCCTACCCAATGAAGACGTACCTCCCCGGGTCAGATTTGGACATTTGTTTACTGGTACCGCAAGAACTGGAATTGTCATGGTATTATACCGTCACTCAGGCATTATGCGTCGCTGGAGGCAGTGGTGGGGTCGGAACTGTATTGGACATCGGTATTGCGGGAGGTGCTTTGAATGGAGGTAGCAGCTTGCCTTCCGGACCTGGGAGCACTGGTGTTGGAAGTAGCAGCGGTCCACTGCTGTTGACGAATACCGTACGCAATGTGACTTTTATCAACGCCGACGTTCGAGTAGTCAAGTGTACGGTTGACAATATCTCAGTGGATTTTACGGCAAACCGTGTGGGAGCGCTTGGTGCCGTGCAACTACTAGACGCTATGGCAGTTCGTGTGGGACGGCAGCACTTGCTTAAGAAGAGCCTCATTCTCATTAAGGCTTGGTGCACACATGAGTCTAGTCCTTACATGCAAGCAGCATTGGCGGAAAATGGTGGGCTTGGGCTATCGTTGGTTCCAGGGAGCACGCCGTTAAGTGTGATGGGAGCTAGCCACGGTGCGCTCTCTACGTATGCTGTGAACACGATAGTTATGGCGCTGTTTAATCAGTACGGAGATGCTCTCACCCACCCACTCCAGGTGCTGTATCTGTTCTTAGATCGGCTGGCTGAGTTTCCTTGGCACGAGTCGGCTCTTACGCTGCATGGTGCTGTTCCCCTAAACCGTTTGGCAACAACGCCATTGAATGGAACCACGCCATCTATGCAAAATCAGAAATCTGCTAAACTGAGCGCCACCGATGTTGAAGCGATTCGCGACGCGTTGGATGATCAGTTTGGTGCGTTTGACGTAGCTCTGAAAAGTAACAGGGGAGCAACAACGGGGTTATTCCCCATTCGTGCATGCAACATTGTGGATCCACTTGATGACAAGAATAACTTGGCGCGCAGTGTATCCGCTGAAGGCTTCCCTGTCGTGAAGCGTGCCTTTCGGCTTGCAAGGGATCAGCTTGCAGCGTTGCTCGCACCTCGAGCATCGCACAAGGACGATGATACCGATCTTTTGGGCGAAGAAACCGGTAACGATGTGGGGATGGTGTTTTTTGCGCGGTGTTGGCAGCTCTATGGTCGTGGTGACGGATGGCGGCCAGATTTGCTAATCCACCCGAGGCAAATCTGGCATGGTAAGGCTGCGTCAACTTCTAACACGGCATTGAAAAATAAAAATAGGGTTTCCTCAGGGCCTCATGCAGCTTCAGGTCCCCTGGTAGTGAGCAGCGACGAGGACGAAGATAGACGTTGGGAATCGGTATTGCCGTCGCTGGATGCCGGCGCTGTAAATGCGCTGCTGCTCCAGCACCAGCAACTGCAGCAACAAGCCGCAGCAGCAGCAGCGTATCACCACGGCACGATGATAGCATATCAGCAGCCTTACTACGGCCCCCCGCAGCAGCAACACGGACCTGCCATTAGCTCGCCTAGAGGAGGTCTAGGACAGACATCAGCACTAATGAGCGGCCGCTGATCCGCAGGACCCACACTTTGAGGAGCTGCTGAGCTAGTGCTAGCCGACCTTACAACAGTCGGGGGCAGTAGTCAGTTCAAAGGTCAGGCGGTGCATTAGACAGCTCCGATCGCCGCAGCACTTGTAAGTAGCATATATAGATAACATAGCAGGGAGATGCAGGTCGAGCGTACGCTTTGCCTTTATTTATTCCAGCTTAGAGCCGGGCTTTCTTCCACTTTGATGATGTTGCTGTATCTGTGGCGTTGGCATCTGTCTTTGTCTTGTTGGCTTTGTTCTGCTGTTTGTTCTGACGCTTTTTCACCTTGACGGCATCGCGCCGCTTTCGCTTGTAGTCAAGTGTAAGCTTCCTCCGACGTTCAGGCCAGTCTGCTACATCACGACCGGCGACAAACGTTTTACCAAAAGCTATGAAGTCCTCATAACTCTTTTTAGCACGCGCTTTAGTCAGTGCAGCCTTCGTCTGCTCTTCATCCTCACCGTCGTCGCCAGCTTCACTGTCTGTGGTCATTGCTTCATCTACCATGTCATCTGTCGAGTGATAACCGTGCAAAAAGGTCCAGTCCACTGCACTTGGTGCTGTCTCCTGCTCGTCTTCAAGAAGCTGCTCGCCCATTGCAGCCAGCGGTTTGTCCTCTCCAGCCGGGAAGGAGAACAATGAGCTAAGTTTAAAAGGAGCGTCACTTCCACTTTGAGTCGTAGCTGTGCCAGACCCAAATACACCATCAAGTGCTGCTTCACCTTCTTCGCCATCCTCTGAATTCTTACGGACGCGCGAGAAAAGGTTGCTGAGGTCACCAGCAGTGGAAAAAAAGCGGTCGCCGCCAGTCGGGATTTCCTTTTCGCCGCGCTTGGGTAAAACAATCTTCGTCTCGTTTTCTTGAGCTCTAGATGAAGCAATTGACATCGGCATCTCGAACTCACGGCATGCATCGGCATTGCGCGGGTCATAGCGCTTCAACTCTCCCATCCAAGCTGCTTCCTTTAGCGGATCCTTAGGCATCCGCTGCTCCTGCATTCGCCGCTGCAATCGTGTTACATCTACATCAGAGAACAGTTTGGACACCACTCGCAATGCAGCTTCTTCCTCTTCGCGCATCTCACGTGCGTGGCAAGCAGCTTCCTGCAAACCTTCTTCTTCGAGAAAATTCTGCAACTCAGCAATAGAAGTCTCATCGACATGCTGTTCGTCATCTTCCATGTCATTTCCACCGTATTCATTAGCTTCGTCTTCCAAAAAGCGCGCATCCAAGTGGAAACGCGAGTCACCTCCAAAGCGTTTCTGCATCTCAAACAGCTTTTTACCCATCTCACCAACAAACTCAGGTCGCACTGCGAATGCAGCCTGGGCTTTCGCATTAGCAGCCGTAGTTTCAGCAATATCACTATCCGTAAAGTCAAATGTCTTACGATCCCTACGCTCAGTTTCATGCCCATCCGCGTCATCGTCGCTTGAGTCCATCCAGTTCAACACCACCCCAGCGTCTTCTTCTTCCGGTTCCTCGGTCTCTTGCTCGTTGCCACTATCATCAAACGTAATCTTCTTATTGCCTACTGCCTCCCCGATAGCCGGAATCACTAACTTCTCCTCCTTCTTTCCCTTCTGCTTTGCTTCCAGTGCCGCTAACCGTCGTGCATTCATTTCCTCTTTACTCAACACCTTTTTCTCTTTCGCCGAAATCGCTAACATCTCCTCCTTCTTCTGCTTATGCTTTGGTCCCAGTGCCGCTAACCGTCGTGCATTCATTGTCTCTCTACTCAACACCTTTTTCTCTTTGTCTTGGTTCATCGCCGCAGCTTCCGCCTCCATTTTTCTCACGAACATCTCGACATCATCCTCTCCAAGCGCTTCAGCCTCCACCTTTTCATTTTCACTCTCACTCTCAGTATCGCCAGCTTCACTCTCTAGTGTTTCAATGTCTGTCTCCACCTTTGCTTTTTCCTTCCTCGCACATTTAGTCTCGTCCACGTTTGAAAACTCTGTCTTTTTCCTTCCTTTAAACGTGACTGTCAACTTCAAAGGTTCAACTACTTCAACAGGTGTATTAATCTGCTTTAAATGCTTCTGTCTCTTCAATTCTCGTTCTTTTCTCTCCCGTTCTCGCTCCTCCTTTTCCTGCTTCAATTTTAGCTCAAAATGAGGTTTAGCCACTTGCACCTTGAGTAAATTTCCTCTCCATTTCGTTCGGTTATACGTCTTTTGTAGTGCTTCGCTCTGCGTTGCAGCATCTGCGCCCTGAAACGTCAGATACGCGAATCCACGACAATTTATACTGGACGCTACGGAATTTTCAAGCGTTTTCGGCTTCGGAAGCTCTACGCACGTCAGTTGACAGTCCTTTGAATTAAACACAAATTGACCAAAGCGTTCCTGAAGCTCTTGCGTTGTAATAGTTGATGTTAAGCCGCCCACATACACGCGCACGGAGGTTGGAGACCCCATATATTACGACTGGCCTTGTTTGGTTGGTTAACGACTGCAAGTTATTTTTGCGCTCACGGTATTTTATTTGATAAAAAATCAAGGTTTGGTTTTTATTACCGTGAAAGATAACAGTATCGTTTTCATCTCTTGTCTTGAATATTTGACATGGTACAATGTTGTAATCAAACATTTAGCTTAGAAAAATCCGAAATGAATTTTCGGTTCCGAATGAAGTGCTTTTCGAGAAAATTAGAGATAAAGCTTTTTTTTGGTTAGACAGTTAGTTGTATGGAGTTTTAATGAAAATAGTGAAAAGTATTGGAAGGGTACATTGTCACTGATACGAGTAATGTATATAGCACATATCTGCTGCAAATATTGATGATTCTATGTTGGTCACATGCTGCAATAACATTTTGTTTGATAAAGTCGATGGTGCAGCATTCTCAGTTTCAGTTGAATGTCATTCGCGATATCTGAGCTGATAGTCACAATAGCAATAAACTGAAATCACGCCTTGAGTCACACGAATTAGAATATGCCAAAACCTACAGGGAGCCGTGGTGACGATGGTGATAAAAAATGCTCGACACCAGTCTCGTAGACAACGGCGTGATGTGAAAGGACGTCTAGAAAGTGTAAGACTTTTACCAGTTGTAAGTTGAGCTGCAGTAGCGCTTGTGCTCGTGAAAATGTCAAAGAGTTGCAACGGCTTGCATCAGCTCAACCTGACAGATCTCATGTTGTTGAGCGTCCAAAACTTGTGGTTCCTGTTTGAGGAACGAACGACGGGACATTGCTCCGGGGCGACGCAAGCAATTTGCTGCACTACAACTTACGCGGCAAGTGTCGTTGCAAAGAGGGACGGTGATACAGAGTCGAAGAGCTGCATGACTCTGCTACAACGAAGAAGTTAAGGCTGTGAGCCATACATACATCCACATGTCCATCACCTTCGCAGTTGATCCAAATGTAAGTCACTACCGGTGATCGATGCCACTGCACCAATTGAACTATACAAAGCTATTGGAAAGCTCTCAAACTGGTTTGCCTCAGTATATATGTGCATTTCCACGATGAGTCGATCCCTCCGTCAACAAACTTGCGCATCATTAAACTAATGAACGAGAATGAAGTGACGACGCCAATCTTTTTCAGGCAGCAAAAGAAGATAGACCACAACTGCTCGTAAGACCTTCTAATCAGTGTCATGTATACCACGCACATACTGAAACTCCACTCGATCAATAACACAATAAACCTAGACAAGATGGGTTGATGTCGCACTTGCGCATCATGTTCATTTGCGTGCAGGCGGGAATTGAGACAGCATTTTGAATACTGCCAGCAAGGCTACAATTACCTTGCACCTGCATTTAATCTTTACTAAAATACTTATTTGATCCATGCAGCAAGAAGTAAACTTAAACCCAGAGCATTGCTACAGTGATGGTTGATGTGACCGTACCTAAGGTACGAAGGGTCGTATCGTGGTTACAATATTTAGCTAAGTATAGTGAATATAGATGTTTACACAATTAGGTGGCTACAGAGCCGGATAAATAGTGACTAGCACTAAGTATAGAGTAGGGGCTTCCATATTTAGTGCTAGAAGTTAAACATTAAATAAATCAGTTTCAAACCTGCTCTATAAGCATACGTGCTAAAGCGTTCTATTCCTTTTAAGGAATTGTATCTTGATACTAGTCTCTTTTTTGAGACGTTGTTGTATACAACCAAAAGGCAGAAGCTTGCGAGCTAGCCTTGGGAGGGTTAAAAACCCTAAGATGTAGAAGCTCTTGGAGCTAGTCTTCCTCTGAACGTAGTGCATAAGTAGCTTGGCTACAGTAGCTCGGCTACACCTGGTAGCACTTGTAGTCAATCCCGCACCTGGTTGTGCGACTACTTGTCTGTGTAAGAATGGACATCTAAGAGATGTCCGCGGTTGGTCTGTCGTCGGCACAACAGGAAGGGTTGCACAATCGGCTCCCTATTCTTGGCCCTAAGGGCGCGGAGTACCTCATCGCCCAGAGCGAAGAAAAGGTTAACAAGCGTATTTATATGCTTGAAGAGTATAACAACGCTCTAGTCGATCATGTAAAGGCACACATGCCTTCTTCTGCGCCATCGCCCATGGTGACTATGGCGCAAGAAGTGGTCCGCAGACCAAAACCCAGACATATGGCAGTCGATAAGCTCGACGACAAAGAAGGTGACAACTTATGCTGTGTTTTCGAAAGGTCGATTCAACTATGGTTATGGCCGACATCATCTATGAACCGTACCGTTTGGCTTTGCCACGGGCAAGTTGGGTGGATTGGCCAAAAAATGGGCATTCACATGCGTGCAACACTGCAAGATGATTTCCAACATCGGCCGATCTGAAAGTTCAGATGACCCGGCAGTATGCACCGCCAGCCAAGCACAACGAAATCGATCGCGATTTTTGGCGTGTTGCCAAGGCAAGCGTAAGCTTGCGGCATATGTGCAAGAGTTGAAAGCTCTCATTGCCTCCATGGTCATATACCCTATTCCTGAGGAAGTTACCGTCACGGTCTTTATGGAAGGCCTCCGAGTTGGCGTTGTCAGAACGGAAGTGTTCCGGGTAAACCCGTCCTCATTCGAGGAAGCTGTTGTAGGTGTCGACTCCCGTCAGGTCGTATAATGATTACTTCTGCGTTGTCGGCTGCCTGTAAGGCACTGCTAAACTTTGCAAAGGAAAACTTGTACAGCTCTAACAGAGTCCTTACTGTGGGTATAGCCGACACATTTACCGGCACTTCGACAACCCCAGTCAAATTGTTGGTTAGTGTGCATAGCTGTTCGCTATCACCGTCACTCACGATGTAAGCATCGCTCCTCGTGATGCTCTCAGCATTCGATGCATCAGCGTTCACAGGTGTACACACCTCAAGGTCAAAGACCACTTCGTTTACTGACTGCACCCCACCCTCTTGGGTCATACCTCGTCATGAGGTGCTTGCGCCTCGTTTTCCTCATCGACAACATCCATTGGTGACTTCAATCGACCCTCTTGGGCCAGTACCTCGTCACTTATGTCACCTGGACTCTTGTCCTGACATCTTGTCTTGCAGCCATCAACACCACTCATGGTGTTTCATGATGTGAAATTATTCTCAAGACACATGCCATATGTGTCATCTAGTGGGTTTTCGACCAAACTAGTGACAGCTCTATGGCCTCACCCAGGACTATTGTCTTCGACACTTACAGTGTCTACAAAGTCAGATAACTTGACGTCAACCATATTGACCGCCTCAGTCCAATATCTGCCTAGCAGAGGTGGACTTCATGACTTTGCAAACCCCACCAGGAGCATTGCACGTTGCGCCTAAGGTCTTCGACCTCCAATCAATCCATACTCATGGCGTTTGAGCCATGGCTAGGATGAGGTCATACCTCGCATCAAGGTCTAAGACCAGAGCTCCAAGCTGTTATAGTCCAAGCAATTTACATATAATTCCATCGGGACTTTGGGTACCCTAACACGCGTACCCGTCGCTAATCGAACGGTGACTGTGTCACTTTTGCGCGCTTCAAGCGCTTTAGCATACTGCTGAATACCTTCCACGGCGGCACGGCAAACACAATTGACTGATGCCCCAAATCGATCAAAACGATCCATGGCTTATTAAAGCCCTTAACCATCCCTTCGACGACAAGCAAGCCTGGCTTGCATTCTCGTTCCGTTATTGAGAGTTTGGATCTCTTTGGGCTGGACCCTGCTTAATTCTAACTCCTAGAGGTTCAACAGAACTCAGTTCTCCCCCAGTAGGAAGCTACACGCCTACTTGGTTCCGCCTTTCCCCGCGGCAATCCATACGGTATACCCATTGGGCGTCGACCCTTTGAGGCTAAAGATGCCTTACTTGCAGAGTATTTTTCCATCCAATAGTCTGATCTCTTGCTGATTCACATCCGCGCACAATTTGTTGCTCCACAGCATGAAGCTCATAGTCTTCTTCCTCATCTTGACCATCCATTGGCACATTCCCATCAGACGAGTAGTTATAAGAGCATTCCTAGCGGCCTTAAAGTTTGCCTTGGCATTCCATGCCACTCCTACAGCTTCCTCGAATGAGGACGGGTTTACCCGGAACACTTCCGTTCTGACAACGCCAACTCGGAGGCCTTCCATAAAGACCGTGACGGTAACTTCCTCAGGAATAGGGTATATGACCATGGAGGCAATGAGAGCTTTCAACTCTTGCACATATGCCGCAAGCTTACGCTTGCCTTGGCAACACGCCAAAAATCGCGATCGATTTCGTTGTGCTTGGCTGGCGGTGCATACTGCCGGGTCATCTGAACTTTCAGATCGGCCGATGTTGGAAATCATCTTGCAGTGTTGCACGCATGTGAATGCCCATTTTTTGGCCAATCCACCCAACTTGCCCGTGGCAAAGCCAAACGGTACGGTTCATAGATGATGTCGGCCATAACCATAGTTGAATCGACCTTTCGAAAACACAGCATAAGTTGTCACCTTCTTTGTCGTCGAGCTTATCGACTGCCATATGTCTGGGTTTTGGTCTGCGGACCACTTCTTGCGCCATAGTCACCATGGGCGATGGCGCAGAAGAAGGCATGTGTGCCTTTACATGATCGACTAGAGCGTTGTTATACTCTTCAAGCATATGAATACGCTTGTTAACCTTTTCTTCGCTCTGGGCGATGAGGTACTCCGCGCCCTTAGGGCCAAGAATAGGGAGCCGATTGTGCAACCCTTCCTGTTGTGCCGACGACAGACCAACCGCGGACATCTCTTAGATGTCCATTCTTACACAGACAAGTAGTCGCACAACCAGGTGCGGGATTGACTACAAGTGCTACCAAGTGTAGCCGAGCTACTGTAGCCAAGCTACTTATGCACTACGTTCAGAGGAAGACTAGCTCCAAGAGCTTCCACATCTTAGGGTTTTTAACCCTCCCAAGGCTAGCTCGCAAGCTTCTGCCTTTTGGTTGTATACAACAACGTCTCAAAAAAGAGACTAGTA